TGGCAGTATCCTGGGTCAGAGTAGATGCAACGCCAACGACCCAGCACTTGTAACGGTTAGGGATATTGAGATCCCGCACTGGAACAAGCATAGCTACTTGAGAAACACGTCATCGTACTTTTCTCGATATGTTAATTCGACAAGGATTATACCACACCTGCCACCTTCATTCGAGATACCTGGCCAGGGTAGTACTTGGAGTAGCGGTGGAAGTCCCATGGAAAGCCACTAGAACCGTATTCACGCCCTTCTAGAAAACTTCTAGCGAATGCCAAAATGTGGGACCGCGCGGCAGAGAATTGTTGGCTGTGAAACTTGTGCATGCAGCTCCACCCCAATCCCACCTTACAGCAATTCTTTGAGACAAGTGTGATTCGTATGGGGAGTTTCCTCCGTTGACAACAATAGGGAAGAAACCTTCTCACAGTACTCGGAATGGATTTCGGAGTTCGAAGTCTTTTGATAAGAGAAAGGGACAGGATTGAGAGTCAGCAAGGTTGGAAATAGGAGTAAACATATGCGATTGTGTTTAAGAGATGACTTCCGTGAAAGGTCAGTTTGAATGCAATGTGCTGCTCGTTGTGTACGGAAGAGCTACCCGGAGTGTTCCTGTCCATTAGTTATCCGAGAGTAGTTCGATTTCCCGCCTATCGGATAAAATAAGCCTCAGGATTCAGTCGCAGATTGGGTGGTATCTTGTATCTTTCCGAGACTGAGTGATCCGCTCCCCAACCTCAAAACGTCCAGCTAGCCGTGCTTCTTTCCGCGAAGGGCCGGTGACCAGCATTCAATCAAACTATATCCGTACTCGCCTATCAAGCCATGGAAAATCCTGTAATTGATCGAGAAAATGGCACCACTCATGCATCCGAGTGGAACGTAGAAGGCAGAAGAACAACTTGTTGAATGCACCCTACTATCGACGGCGCCGAACATGTTAACCGCAGTCCATGGGGTAGGTATGTTGTTTACTTTTCGGTGCGACGCTTAGCGTGTCATTCAGGGCTGTTTGGTGCACGCACAGTGGTTTTGCAGCAGGATTAGGAGGTCCTTGGTGTGCAACTTGGTAACTTTTGGCCTGAGCTCCGTTTGTAATCCTTGTTTACGCACTGATGGTATACACTACTTGGGTAACTCGTGGAGCACTGTACACTCCAATCCGCGTTATTATATCCCCAATTCGAGTTTATAGACGATTGGTAGCGGCCCAGTGGACAAAAATTGTCTTAGAGGGATGGAGTACTGGGCACAGGTGGGTTTTACTTGTACGTTTTGAGGCTTTGAGGTTGAAAACTGTATCTTCTTTGGATGAATGAATATCCGACAATATGCGCAGTTCCTCCTCAAGCAGAGACGCAGAATCATTCCTGTATATGCCTTGTATGGGATTCTTTTAATCCACCTAAGACGCTCGTACAGAGTTTAGCATGAAACCCCAGGGAGTCCTAGTTGGGCATACTGTAGAAGGGTGACTGAAGCCTTGAGTAGCTCATGTCAGTCTCGTGTTCGCGAGCGTTTGCCATGTCACTGTCGTACAGGCTTCCCCAAGTTTTTTGTTCATGGGGTTATGAGGCTGATGAACATTGGATTGCGCCTGGCGAGCGCTTCGGTCGCGCTCCCGCTTTCTGAACCCCCAAGTGTCTTACTCAAGCTGACGTTCACTAGATCCCGCTAGCGACACTGAGCCATGTGCCAGGGCTCTAGCGTGCGGTAAACAGCCGAGAGAAGTGTCAACCGCAAGCTTGCGCAACTACAAGTATGTTTAAACGCTTTTGAGATAAATCTAATTGTATCATTAGGCGCCGTTCTGTCCGTGCTAAGCTATGGGAATCGGAACTTTGTATTGCAATCACGATTCATCAGGACAAAAGCTTCAGTTTTCGACTCTTTCTGGGTGAACGTCCCTCACCCTACGCGCACGTCAGATTAGTTTGAGCTCGCTTGGTCCCGCAATGTCTTCCTTGCCATGACAGGGGCCCAACGGGGAGTTGAGGTTGTTTCCGCCAATGTTATTACTGCCTCAAGGGAGCCTTTGCTCGGGGGATACTCTACCGAAACTGGCAATGTCAAGCCATTGGTTGTGGTTAAGCGATGGATCTGCGTTCTCTGTCAGTCTTGACAGAATTCGGCTGTATGATGTGGCTTTGTTACCAATGTCACAAGAAGGTGCATCGTGAATCGCATTGCAGGACCTTGGTCAGCACCTTCGTCTCCTTTCAGTCTCATGCTGCGTTGTGCGCTTGGCCTCGGCATGAGCGATTGTGCGCGAGTGGTTGATAACTCCCCACATCTTCAAGCGACCAGAGGGATGGACCTTGGAGTGATGCAAGCCACGTTCTCGCAACACTGAAAGAAGGCATGCACTTAGTAGCTTGTCTGCGTTATCTGTACCAGTGTCTTGGATGGAAATAGAGTGCTCCGCTTTGTCACACATTACTCCTCTTTCCATTCCCAGTCGGAGGTTCGGAAGATTGTGTAAGGCGTCCTACTCAACATTCTTGTGCTATGTATACAACGATAGAAAGCTTATGCCCAAGAGTCGAGTCGCGCAATTTGGCGCCATTGTGGTAAAGTTGAATTGGAGAGTTTGCATCTTCCAGCTCTAGTATGGAACGGGGTAGTAATCCGCAGTTCCGATTTAGTAGATTTCGGCAGGACATTTGGCCAACCAACCAATGAGGTCGGTAGGACCGGCGACGTCCTTTGTATCGAGGTGCAGGCGACGACAACTTGCAGCATCTGTATCGTAGCCTGTAGGGAAACAAGGGTGTCTGGAGGAGAAATGTATTATTATTAACCGAGGGGGGACGAACGTAATGATGGCGGTAAGAGGAGCAGGAGAGTTGTCAGCAGCAGGACTGCTTACATCGGCGACCCCCTCCCAGCAGCTAGTGAGCGATTGGGTAGTGATAACTGCAATGATCCTCGCCTGCTCGTGTTAATAATGGTGTCCCTTGGCCGGCTTGGTATCATCGATACAGCCCTACGGATAGCACAGGATATCTCCCGCCTATTGATTGGTGATGGACACTGCACGTGGATTGTCTAACACCTGTAGTAGCATCAAGCTGCCGTGGTCTAGGCGAGAATGGTTCACTATCTTCTCTGGCTGTTGCATTATCGCCAACGGCATGTGTAACTGCAAACCCCGCTTCTCGCCATCGTTGAGAGAGGTTCACGTTCCAAGGATTGGGCACATGTTCCTTTCATCAATTAGTTCACTGCGATATCTAATCACAACTCTTAAGTACAATTGGGTACACAGCTAAGACATCTGCATTTCACCCAAAAAGTCGGTGACCACGCAATGCATGTGGTATAGTGTGGGCGACGGGCAAGGGCCGACGCTCGGTTCAATAAACCCTAGGCAGCATCGAGAATTCGCGGCTCCATTTTTGACACGACGGGATCTTCATGGACATACACCCTTAATCAAAGAGAATGGGATGGCAGCAAGGCACAAAGTGAGGAGGAGAGGCTGAAGCCTGAGAGAGGGCGGGAGAGCTGACACCCAGACTTGATCAAAGCTGCCCTCCATGTTCTGCGGTTGCCCCTAGGGAAGATTCTGAGCTACAGCAGCCATTACCGCTCAGAATGGAGTTGCTCCTGAACGTCAAAGGTCCGTCTAACTGCTCGTGTTCCAACACCCCGTAGTCGGTTTGAATATTTTTTTTCTATTCAACACGCTGGGACAGGTAACTATGAGACTGTGTTACATGTGCGTTCGAATTGCCCGCACAACTGCTTCAGCCGATGTGGTATTGGCCGTCGAATGGGTCCGTCCGTGGGAAGAAATCTAAAAGATATGCACGTTGTGGGATTTTCCCAAATGGGCAGTTCTTAGACGGTAAGGAAGACCTCCAAAGAGAAGGAGAAGATGAGCGACGGATGACGTCGGAGCAGCGAGTCGATAGCAACCCACCAGGCTGGCGCATTTAGGCATGTGTCTTTTGGTTGTGACCCAGACTAGAGGCCCTGTACTAACCAGCAGCAAGACTGGTGAGGATTGACCGCCCAGGCTACTTCTGATTAAGAACAACAGCAAGCAACGACAGCGGAACAGTACACACAGAGTTGTTAGTAATTAGCGCGCGTGGAAGTGTTGTCGGGGGGAGGTTGGGCGTGCGGGTTGGAATGAATCTTAGATATTTGGTAGAGAGATTAGACAAGCATGGCAGGGCAGGGCAGGGTGGTATACACAGTATTACAGTAGAGTGGGATGGCCCCCAAGAGATTATTTGGGGATAGATAGTTCATAGTTGGGAGAGCACAGAACAGAGAGAGTTGCGATGATAGACACTGGTGGTCATGGTTGGTGGTGTACTGTGGGAGAGTGTAGTTGGGAGCGGAGCTTGAGCCGGTTAGAGGCCGGTTCAACCAATCAGTTATCAACGTCCGGTAAAAGTTTAGCGCGGGACATTCACTGTAGACATCCCTGCAAACCAATGCAAGACTTGCTAAGACCTGCAAGACCTTGCACTCGACTTGGACATTGTCCGCTGGCCCTGCAACAGATTGTTAGGTAGGTCATGGCATGGTCACGGTGTAGGTAATTAGGTAGGCCGAAAGGTATCGTTGTCGTCGTAGCCATTGTCCACTCCGCCATAGGGTAGTAGACCATCTACTGGCAAGAATAGCTCCACCCATAGTCTAGTTCCCCCCCTACCCCTACCCCTACCCCCTACCCCCTCCATTTCGAACCCCCCTCCTCCTCCTTCAGTCATACTCTGTGGGACATTCACTCTAGCTACGGACTGTGTGGGACTACTGACAGAAACTACCGTGGCGTCCACTACCGCGACCGTCAACGCGGCGTTATGCACGCGTTCTCGCACCCTTGCCCTGCATGCCGTTGTGCATGGCCCGTGGCCGTTTAGAGTACTACTCGATGGCCCATGGACTAGCACCTCTATGGTCTATGCTCACGCCGCCGGTTCCTACAAGGGCCTGTACCTCCAATTCCGATGCTGTGCTCGTGTCTCTCGGTCCATCTATAAGATCTCATCGCGCCCAAGCTCTGGTGACTTCAACTTCTACAACAAACAGCGTAAGCCAAACATCAATCATCTTACTATACACCTTCTATCTCTATCAACTTCGTCAATATATATACACATATATATCAAGACTACACACTGTCACCAAGTGTTTTGAACTGCAACCCACTTCATAACACTAAAAGATAGTCATCGATACTGTGACTATCACTTCTGTTGATCGCACAACATCTCCAACACCGAGATCAACCCATATACAACAACACACTTCTCCAATGGATTCCCAATCATTCGACTACTGGCTCGCCCAGGGCAACTATGTGCCACCTCAGCATCCCTCTCAGATATATGAAATTCCTCCCCCACTATCAAAAGTCCCAAGCCTGAGTGGTTCTCCCGTAAGTCAAACCAACATCCACCAATTGATACTTCACACATGCTAACAAACTAAAAGGTTTCTTCGACCTACGATCAGTTCCCCACACCACCTGTTCCTCAACAGCACCAGCAACCACCTCCCCAGCAACAACCACCCCACTACTATCCCCAGATCGCCGACGACTCGATGTATGCTCAGTACCCGCTCCCAATGACCCCATCGGACTTTGGATCAGATCACGACAGCGCGTACTGCAGCCCTCACCAATCTCATGTGGATCACCTTTACGTCCAGGGCGCTTCATCTGCACCCGCCGAGAGGACACACACCACCTCAGGAGTAAGTTCTACAGGCATCCAACCAAGCAGCCTCGATCAGTATCTAACAAACTCTTAGCGACGAAGGGCTCAGAACCGCGCCGCACAGCGAGCATTCCGTGAGCGAAAGGAGAAGCACGCCCGGGATCTCGAAGCACAATTGGCAGTCCTGACCGACAAGTACAACAAGCTCGAGGGATCGCACACCGAACTGAATGCCGCCTACGAGAAGCTCCGCAAGACCATCGAGCTCCTCACCCAGGACGACGATGCCGAAGGCGAGGAGGAGGAGGCCGGCAACAAGAGCGTGTGGAGGAGAAGCTCAAACTCCGAAACCCTCCGCAAGTTGCTCGAGATATTACACGGCGAGTTCAAGGGCGTCGCAGTCAAGAACGAAAGCGCATGATCTCTCCCGAACCTCCTCCTTCTCTCTCTCCTATTACCAAAAAAGATTTCAGTCGATACCAATTTTACGAATATTCACCTATTCGAATAACGAGCAAGGTGTTACGCGGCGCTCCGGTTCTTTTCACAACAAAGGTTTATCTACCACGAGGGGCATTAATATGATGCCTTGAGATGGCAACGTCACTCACGGTATGGCTATATGCCGGGCATTATAGTGGAACATTTGTACTTTCTATTGGCCATTGCCAATCCTGTTGCTATACAATACTTCATGATACTATTTAGATGATCATCAAATCAATACCTTCAATGGAACAACAAATTATCTCCAAGAACAAGTCCAAGCCTGAAGCCAATGCTCTGTGAAACGTGACTTGAACAGGGCAACAAAGAGACGATAAGGCGTCTCGTCGCCACAGGATCTGACGTATGTAGGAACACACATTAGGTTCAGACGATTCACAGACGACCAGTCTCAGTTCCCTCGACTCTTCTCGACTCAAATCTGGGCAGTCCGGTAGGGTGATAATCAGCGGGGAATTCCAGAATCGGGCGAGTTTGCCGCACGTGGAGGATGCTCATTACTGCTTCGGCCAACGACGACATGAAGCTTAAAAAATCCGATGTTCCACCAATGGACTTTTTCCAAGCGGCGTCCCTGTTTGGGGGCTTTCCCCAGGGTACAGTCCGGCACTGTGGCGCCCTTGGGCATCGCGCAATGGACTGGGCACGCCGGTCTGGATTGTGTCCTGAACTATGGTCTTGGGATCAAATCGTGTGTGTCGAATTATTGTGACACAAGCCCTCTTTCGCAAAACAGATTCAATTCCCCATGGAACAATGATTTCGTATCGGTATCTATGAAACTTCCCTGCTGGAGATTGTAAGGAGGTCGGAAAGACCGTCTATTCCAGCGCAGAAAGACAGACCTTTGAATCCCTATTGGATGCAGAGAAAAGTTGTTGTACTCCGTCCCGGTTTGCGTCGCTTCTGGGAAGGGGTTCGCACGGCAACTTTGATCTAGTCCACCCCCACCGGCGAGCCAATCCTGACCCCTGACCCTATTAACTTCCCATTTGGCACCGGAATTTCATTGCAACAGCCAAAAGCGCCACTAGCCACCACCGCCATCTCGTTATTCCTGTTGCAACAAGATGTCAACTTGTTTTGAAGGCAAGGAGGAATGATAACAATGGCGAGATGAAAAAAATTTAGGAGAGGTCACAACATAACCTGCCAGCCCACCCCCCGCTATCGCATCACATCGCCTTGCATAGCATTATTGGAAACCAGCTTTCTTCTCGCTCCCACACTGGCAACGCAACGACTCAGTTGTCGCGTCCCAGGACTCTGGAACAGCTAAAATTCGATTTCGTCAAATCACAAGTAGACTCGCTGGGGTCAGGCAGCCTCTTCGACCCAAAGTATTTTTGACACGTCGCACAGCACCGGCGCTTCATTCGGCTCGTGCAAATGTTTCCCATGATTCCAGGATACCCCCCCCCCCACCGGACTGGAGGTGAAGGGCACTACTATGGTACACATTACATAGGGCAAGATAACAATGATTCTTCACCTGTGTCGTCTCCGTCGCGTAGTCATAGATAGGTGGTACACACGAGATGGCATGACGATAAATCGGACAGCGAGCAATTGGCCTCAAAGATGGGATTTCGGAGGGGTGAGACAATCACATGAGAGGACTCTGCATTCAAAAATACCAATTGATGAGCATGTTTGTGCCCCATACAGTGTAGAGCGGTTCGTGTTTACGAGGTGCTTGCATGGGGTCCGTTAACGCATAGAGAGGTCACATGTGCGGCTGCTTGTTTGCGGCTGTGCTTTCTTCACGCATTGGAGGGACGGAGGGCCGTGGAAGGCGATAGAGGGGAGCGGAAGAGAAGGGAAGGTCGAGGAGATTTTCTATTCGCACGTAGCAAAGGTCTCCTATGCCAGCAGAATAGACAGAATCCGGTCACTTGCTGTAGCGTAAATGCACGCCATGCAGCAAGTCAAGGCCTGTGAATGGTGGTGGAGGACTCGGGCTATTGACATGGCGGTATGACCGTATAGCATGCATGCATTCGAAGCCTACCATGCACCGAAGGCTGCACAGAAGGCAGAAGCGATGCAGAGAAGGGCTGAATCGGAAAAGGCTCTGCTGACAGAGGGACTTTTTGCCAAGGAATGCTGCTTTGTAAGGGGAGATGCTAGCCTTCAGTGAGTGCGGAATGGATTGCTCTGGCAACAGGGTCCCTCAGGCCTACTCCTTCAGGTTGAAGGTCATTTTCTGTGGCAGACAGAATCTCCAGATCGGCGATCATAGGGCAGGAACGTCTCTCATAAGTCTAGAGCCGTGATCCGTAGCCACTATCTTATATCCGATTGGAGTGGTGGTGAACCCACAATGGTAGCATTGGTAGGGCCGTAGGGTACTGTTGGTAAGGTAGCGATTATCTGATATGGAAAAGATACAGCGTAAATGGGGTGCGGCGCAGGCAGGCGACTTGCTTGCGAAAGCCATCAGAGACTACTGTATGTAGCTATCGCCCTTCCCACTTACCCACCCAATTAACTACCTGTGTATGGAATAGTCTTGCAAGCTTGTCTGCTATGCCTGGCATGCCATCATGTTTGGTGAGCATCGGTACCCCTGTCCATACCCCTGTCCACTATCCTTGTCAACTTTACCCTGGTACCGATCTTGCTTGACGCGCCCGTAGGAGCATTGACCATCCTATACCGACTCGTGGGTATTGGAAAGACGGTACAGTCATCACCCAACTTGCAACGTAAGATGGGCTTCTCGGGACGCTTACTGTGGATGCCCTTTGGTGGCTGATGACAGTAGATCGAAGATTGACCTGTAAGATGTAAGTTCGATTCGGAACATACGACTCGACACACCATGGACAAATTACAATAGACAAAGAGCACACATCACAGTGGATGTGCATACATGTATGTATGTGCCTGTTGGTTGGGATGCACGAAGATAGCAATTATAGGAAGAGTATGACCACCAACATCACCAGATAGAGATAAATGAAGTGAACGAGTTGGGCCATACCCATTCTGTCGCCAACCTGCCAGACCAACCTGCTCTCTTCTGCTGGTGAAGACGCTCGGACACCTCGCTTGACCGACTGGAATCCGCTCCGTCTCCCCTACAAGTACAAGTATTAGTTAACATGTGTGTATGCCTTGGCAAGGCAGCGTCCAGAGCGAGGGGATGTGTGGAGATGGACGTTGGAATTCGGTACGGGCCCCGAGCGGGAATCAGTGCATATCTTGTTAACGATTCTGAGCAAAACGCGGCCTGGGTTGAAATGATCGACGCTCCTCGGTTGCTTGCCATTGGTTGGAGCGACAACTCTCCTTGGCCGCCCAATCTCCTTTGCGCTCCCTATCCGCACTGAGTATAGCGCTTTGGTCGACGAGATTTGCTTCCAACGCTTATATTTGCATCCGATACGTCGGACGCATCACGGAGCCGTGGTGTCGATGTGTCAAGCAGAAGTTTCCTCACTTCGCGTGCTGAGGCGCCGAGGGATGCGGCCTGGGAAGCGAGTGCATGCGGCGTAACTGGGACGGACATTTGTCGGCGGGTCCCGAAACAAAGCGATACAGGTGTGGCTTCACGATCAAGAAATTTAATGAATACGTCCCGTTGCGTCGGCGTGTGTATCCCAATTGGATCGCATTCAAACAGAGGCATACGTTCAGATGGTAGGGTTGTACAGCTAGGCTTTGAAAGGCAATAACCGGTGCTGACGTGGAGCAAGTTTTACGAACTACATTCAAACGGGAAAACAATAATGCGCAACTCGACAGCTGCTTGAATAAGGACTTAGTCACAGGCATCTCGTCGTTGCACTCACTAGCCTCACCAAGAAGCTTGATGGTGACGTTAAGACTTAGGAGTGCCTCAAATTGGAGTATCATAAAGAAATTTTCAATCAACGACATGATAGTGCTTCAGGGACACAGCCCTGTCACACGTAATACTTCTTGGTTCCATCGATGACCGCTCGAGCCTAAATAACGGCGGTGATTGGCGCGTGCGGCCCGCACCTACATCGCTATTGTCGAAACGATGTATTCACTTGCAGCGTCTGCTATAACCACGACTCACATGGTTTATGAGCTAAATCGAGCTGTAGATAGACTGCTCCACATATGGCAATCCTCTGGCACTCTTCTGTTCCTCTAACATTATTTGGGGCATATACGTAGCTATTAACACCCCGACTTGGAAACATGATCTGCGTCGTGAACGAGAACTGGATAACCATCCCATGAGGATGAATTAAGCATCTGTGTAAGCTGACAGCTGACAGCATCACTCAAGTTTACGATGGGATGGGGCTATTTGCATGGCCGGCTGACGGGATCGTGTTCCCCCTCGCGTTCCCGCAAGATTGGGGCAGGTATGGCGATCAGAGAGGCGGCATCACAGGGTGTGAGAATACCTTGCAGCAGAAGAAAGTGCGAACTCAAATTCTTTCCAGACTGCCAGGATGGACCCAGAAATCTATCCTACTACATTATGAGATTGAAAATTTGGTTCAGGAATATGCTAGGCATCGAAGACGAGTCTCGTGGATGTATGGGCGTTTGCGTAGTGTTCTGCACGGAGTTAAAAGGATTTTACTTCTAATCATGGGACGGATCGCGGGAACGCTTGATGGTTGTCGAGGTTACACTAAATGATTTACGAGGTTCACAGAGTACGAGTATTGTCTCCAGTACAATCCGTGTAAGCAATTCGTAGACCCTTCTCTTAGTCTCTCACCAGATAATGACGGTATATTCGAACTACAGCGGGGACATACGTACTACCGTGGCTAGGTACCTCCCTAATGTAGCTCCCTTCTCGCGTGGTGTAACCGTGGATTGCCAATTCCTGACAGATGTATATCAAGAGTAGATCAACAGATCCTTAACCAAAGAAGGAGATTGCTGAAAGTATGGACTCTAGCAAATATGCTTTGGTCAGGAATCCTGTAGCTGCATGCTGTTGACAAATTTCGTAGTCAGGATAGGAATCACGTCCTCAATGCGAATCCACGAGACGAGGTTGATTGGACAGGCCAAGAAGCCGGATCCCCTCAATCACGTGGGAAGAGAGGGGCAGGGTCTTTTCCAGCGTTCCAGACACATCTTCGCGCCTCATCGGCGCCTTCGTGTGTCTTTAGAGTCTCCTTAGAGTCTCCTTAGGATACTGTTGAAAATGGACTCGTAGTTTGGTAGCGACCTTGGCGTGCCCATATCAAACAACCCCTCTTCGGCTTGCCCTCAACAACACAATTCTCGTACCTACCTACCCTACCGGGCCTACGTCCACATCATCAGCTGCGCCAGAGAAAACTGTCCGGTGGCAGCCAATGATCGTACATTTACCCCGTATACATTCGCAATGTTCCGTCTCATGGCTTTCCTATAGCGACCCCTTGGCACAGAGTACGTTGAGTGCGTTGGTTGGCCGGGGAAGTAGTCCGGTACTAGGTGATCATACAGAAGTTTTACCTCTTCCATCGCTGGTCACTAAAGCTAGATCAACTCGTCTGCCCGCATTCAAGAATGTCTGCATTGCTGCGACGGACTTCAAATTGAAGCAACAAAATTTTTCAATAAAATGCCGCGTCACAAACAAGGTATTGATACGCCCTTCTACTAACCTCACTTGTTTCATCGGACTTGTACCCCCGCAATCGTGGCCACCAAAGGTCTGGCTATTCTAGTTCAGACCCGTTATGGTGACCTCAAACTCGGACATTCTTGCGAAGACCAAAAACGAAATGAATCGTCGCCATTTTTAACATTCTCGGATCAAAACCTAAAATAAAGGGGAATCACAAGGTGTAACTGTACTGCATATAGCGCATGTTGATATCCTTTGACTATTATCAACAAAGATCTGCAACCCTCGCATATCGTCGATCTCATCTGTGGAGATCACTGCAGACAAGGGTGGTCTGAAATAGTCCAGAACATGGATTGCAATTGCCCTAGTTCAACACTGTACTCTGTTTTTGGTATATTTTTCGACCGAAAAGCTCGCTTGAACATCCGGAGTTCTTTCAAATTCATGAGACGATCTGATGCGAATTCGACCCGCCTGTGTCTGTTGCAATGGTAGAGAACCTCGGTCCTCCTATTGACAAGGGCATTGTCGACTTGAAACCTCACCAATTGGAAAGTCCGACGTTAGAGATCTTGAATGCTACGCAGACTTGTACCACTCGCCATCATGGTACGAGGATCGTCGTATGGCCGCCAGTATGAGAACTTGGCTGTCTCCTCTCGTGGCCTTTGCCTTATGCACGCGAGGATGGATTGCAGAGCTTCATAACGGCATTTGCCGTATGCTGAGCGGACCATCATTGCTATCGTGCCTTGCTCTTGGCTCGGTTTGGGTTGGGGTGGCCCACATAGAGTATCAACTTGGCGTAGATACTCTATCACTTGCCTGTCCAACGCAACGCAAGCGCGGCCTAGGTAGGTAATCAGTATGTTCGGCTATTCTACTGTCTTCACCTGGTGTCACTAAGAGAGTGCATTAGGGAAATAGTAAGGAAATAACTGATAGCAATGAACCCAAGTAACTTGTCCCATGACATTCGAGCTCAGATAGCTCTGATTCATGCCATTACATTGCGTTTAGTACACATTGAGTGTTAGTTCTTATCTCAATGTCACGAAAATTGGATTTACATTTTCGGATAATAATCCGGGTAACGTTAGGATCCAGGATCCACGTGGCGATTATCGTGCTGTGACAGTTGTAATGACTTCGAATCATACCTAACATTGAGGATCTACATATTCCCACTTCACAGCGAATCAACGTCTTCGCATCGGCTCTACAGATGGGTTGCCGCACGCATCGAGATCTGTCCAAGAACCTTGATTCCTAGTGAGATCCCGGGGAGTCGCAATCTTTTCATTATGGGGAGAAATAACCGCAGGGTGGGTAATAACCGAAGAGTGACATGAATCAGGCCTTATTGCAAGGGTGGGCAGATGAAGACCAAGTGTTTCCAGCAGAAGAGATTTCACGATATCCGCCACCGTCATTTCGTATTCGGCCCTATGCTAGCTGAATTGCGATTTTGCCGAACATAACCCCCCCGTAAATTGCGTTGTGTGCGTGCGAGCACGCCGCAGATGTCAACAGAAAATGGAGTAATAATAGCGTTCAGGCATCCCATGAGGCTTCTGTGAACCATCAAAAACATAGAACCACTATGCATAACGGCTGCTAGTTTCAATTGATGGACTTTGTGCACTTTTCTGAATTCACACATTTCTATTAATAGGGCGGGTTGGTTGATGGTGGCATGCACCGGGGAACTGGCTCGCGTGGCGAGAGAGAATTCCGCACTCCAGGCCGAACCTCGCGGCCAAATGCTATTCCCAATACGGAAAGGACCCTGAAATCTATCTCACATTCATGATCGCAACATCTACAAACCCTACGTGCTTATCCACGTTCGGCTGTTCACCGACATTGGAGGCCTTGCATGTGCCAGCCACCAGCATTCGAGCGCGCACAACCTTTTCCAACAAGGTAAAGTGACATGTCGCTAAAGGCATCGGTTCTATGCTCTCTCTGACCAGCACGACGGTACAAGCCATGTGCGGACAATTCTTCCGATCCCGTGGAGAGGGGGACAGCGCTATCGAGATGGGCGTCCGCTGAGATGTTTTGATGCTGAATTTATCTCAATTTGCATGCATGAATCGCGCCGCCGCATGTTCTGTTTTTATCTTCCTACCCTATTCCTGCAGCCATGGTCTGAAGGATCGCATGGGGACGTCGCACGCGAAGTTGTCATTTCCGTTCGACGTCGATGGCGGGATGATGGGTGCGCTCGAGTTGTTGCGTAGTGGGGAGCGATGGCTGGATCCGCCACACGCCTCACGGTCTGGTGAGCAGTCCACCAAATTGTTGTTATTATTGACGTTCACGCCATCGGACCTTCTATTTAGGGTGAGCCGTGCATGAGAAGCGAACAAGCGGTGGTGGTAACACTCACACGATCACTCCATGCGCCGACTGCAGTCGATCCGCATGAATTCGGGGAGATCGATCGAGGCTGTCCAACACCTGATCGAAAGGACCAGCAACCCGGATCCGCTTGCTTGGCCTGATCGAAGGGCCAGCTTTATCGTCTTGTTCTTCTTGTGCTCGAACCTTGGCCTTGCTCTTCCTACCAGGTCTGAAGTACGCAGCGAGAACGGCCTCCACTAGAATTTGTGTTAGAGAAGATGGGTGTGTGACTGAGAAGTCGAACTCTTACCGAAATGACCCTGGCCGTCGTTGTGATAAGATTCTTCCTCGATCTTGGATAATGGTCGTGATAAAGCTTCACGTTGCAGCCATTCTTTTGCCTCGTAGTAATCCGGTGCCTGATCCGTATGTTTCCTGTTCATGTGTACACAAAACCCGTTCATTCCGTTGATGTATTGTATCGGTCTGTGGGAGTTTGTGGCATTCACTGGACACAACGGGCACTGGATCCAATAAAGAAGTCCATCTTGTTCCATAACCAAGTTTGTCCACTCCTTCGGTAACGCCATCTTGTGACCGGGAATCCGTACAACGTTGTTTGCTTCTGAATCTGGGCTTTCAAGGGTGTCTATGTCGGTTTCGTCTTCGTTTTGCGGACTTGAAATACTTGATGATGTATGCTGCGGTTCGTAGCAGCCACTGATTGACGATTCGAGATCTGATTCTGGCGATGAATCGTCACTCATATCGATCTATACATTCTCCGTTAACAAACAACGTATGAAACGTGTAGATAGCACGCAAACTTACATGACCAACTTGGCTGTTTGCAGGCTCCTCCTGTACAACAGAGCCATTCCGCAGAAGACTCTTGCTGATTCTTAACCGTCGTTCCGTTGCTTCAAACGTCTCCTTCGCTCTATCTTTCGCTAGAACAGCATCGCGGAACTTCGCCTCTTCATGTAGTCTCCGTCGTCGTGCCTCTTTCTCCTCTTTCTCGGCTTCCAAATTCCGCTTCTGAGCCCGCCTGACGCCGTTCTCGGCTTCTCGTCGCGCAGCCTGAGCTTCTTTGACTTCGCGTTGGTGGGTCTGGACTTGTTCGCGGAGGTATTGTATCTGTTCTTCGTTGGGCATGTCGCCTTGCAGACAGTAACGCGTAATATCGTGATAATCTGTGAAGTTGTATCCGCGAAAGTGTCGCGTGTATCAGTAAAACCTTGGAACTAGAATACCAATTGTACAGAGATAGTGGAAGGAAATGCCATGCATCTTATGTGGAAATGATACATCAATTGCCATTGATTTCACCCATCCATTACAGGAAAATATCTTTATCTTATTGGCAGGAACTTGCACCATGTCGTTCAGTCCTGGCGTTTACTCGTCCTACGTTACACCAGATTGTACCTGATACCATGCCTGTTCACTGCAGCCTCGTTGACATGATCAAATTCAGCACCATCTCGCAAAGACATATCTTTACTGAGCTCAACCGACCGCTTCAACCCTTGGAAATGGGAAAATACTCTCTTCCTACGTCCGACATCTATCAAGCATAAAGAGATAAGAAATTCTAGCCTGTAGAATGTTGTCGCGGATATTTCGCGTTGCAAACATTGGCGTTCGTGGAGTCGACATATCACATCTACACATAATCCTAGCAAATCCACTGCAGCAACCATGTACCACGACTTCCCAGACCACCAATGATTCACGTCCTTCTAAGCCATCGATTGGGGAACCGATGACTCAACGGTGTTTGTAGGCATTATTGAGGGGTTGCTTTATCAAATGCTTCCCATTTCTATTATCTATTCCAAGGCAAGACCGAATATAGCACAGTTTCCCGATGTGAGAAAATGCTTCAGAGTCCACGCGAGAGATCCAATAACGCTACAAACAGTGATACCGAGAAAACATATTGAATCAATGAGTGATGAGCAAAAGAGCAGTTATACTTCATGTTTAGTGTGGAGTCTGAACATGGTCTGTGTATTTAGAGGTAAACGTGATTTAAAAAGTGTTGACCTGTGACGCACCTGTCAAAACCAAGAAAAAGGCAGATTGCGAACATACGTGATGTACGGAGGAGGAATTCAAAGGTATTTTCAGTGACACAAGACAGCCCTACTAGGGTAGAGCTGGTAACGTATTGTAGCACTGCATTACAGCATAGGGCGTAAACATGTAACCTACGGCTTCTAGACTATAATAGGATGTAGATAGAGCAGGTTAACAGGCTGTAGAGATGTAATCTAAGAGTATTATATTCTAAAGCTGCTTACTCTAGGTTACACTATATGTACGCGGCGTTTATTACCCCTGTAACTGTTCTGTGTTACTGAAAATACCTTTGAATTCCTCCTCCGTACGCGTTCAATATTGATCACCCTACGGCGTCACATAAGCGTTCTGCTCTGCGATAGGATGCAAAAGGGGTTGTGGTTGAATCGCAACGTCACATTCAGGATGGGAATCGGAACGAAGATGTCGTCGCATTAGTTGATGAGTCGAAATCAATCAGAAGCAGAAATAAAACTGATTTATAACTGGATATAAATATTTGTAAAACGCTTTACACAAAAATGTACATATACATGGCCGATATAGCAACAACTAGCACCATTTTATTCATCCTTCGATGTTTCGAAGCTCCAAAACCGCGTCACCCTCTACAACTTGCTACCACCGCCGAGGAGCTCTGCGCCAGCACCGCTGATTGCCAATTTTCCAGTCTCCTTAACCTTGGACTGGAAGACAACAGTGTTGTTGACCTTCCACATCTCAGTCACAAGAGTCTGGCCAGGGAGAACGGTGCCAGCGAATCGGACCTTGATGTTCTTGTACGGGCCAAATGTTTGCAAAACATGCTTTCCGGAAATTCCGAAGAAGCAAAGACCATGAAGAATAGGAACCTTGAAGCCACCGACCTTGGAGAATTCAGGGTCAATGTGAAGAGGGTTGCGATCGCCTGAGAGACGGTAGACAGCTGCCTGCTCCTCGGTGGTCTTTTCCTCAACAACAGCGTCAGGGGCTCGTTGAGGGGCCTTGTGTACGGTTGTGGCGGGCCCACGATCGTTGCCCTTCTTAGGACCGCCAAAGTTGCCTGAACCACGGATGAAAACACTCGACTCGTTATAGAAGATGTCTTCGCCAGTGTTAGCGTCCTTCGTTGTGGTACCGTAGACTACAACGGCAGCAGCGCCCTTGTCAACGACTTCGATGAGCTTGGGATAGGAGACAAGCTTGGCCTCGGTAGGGATCGGGAACTTGCGGATCTCAAGGAATTGCTCGCCGTGAAGAAGCATCATGGGGGAGAAATTAGGTACAATGTCGCTGAATGAGAAGGGTGCTACGGCGTTGAAAGGAGGGATAACACCGAAAGTGGGAAGGACCTGGAAGTTGTCGTTGTTCTCATACACGAATGGTAGATCAGTACGTTTGGCACCAACTCCAAGATCTGTGATTGTTAGTATCTGTTTCTAATGCAAACCGTGCAATGGAAAACCTACTGTAAAGAATGACATCCTTCTCGTCATAATTAAACGGTGTTCCCTCGGCTTTGGCAGCTTTGGCGGTCTCGATAGCGGACAAATAGTCGTCACCATCAGACTTGGCCTTCTTGCCGCCCTTGCTCTTGTTCTCCATGTTGGCCATAATGCGTTCTAGACCGCTAGCATTGTCATGAGGATGATCGGCACGTCCGTCGTCGAAGTTGTTGATCTTCTCCCATTGCTCCAACACAGCCTCGGGAGTGAGCGTGACATCGACTGGGAAGCCATGGCCGCCAGTTCGTTGCCACCTGGTAGCAGCAGCCCAGCCCTGTCCGCACTCGTACAAACCACCAGTTGGCTCAGGGGCCTTGTCTGAGCAAAGGAGAACGACAAGAGGAGCAACATAATCAGGCTTCAAGGCCTGAACAACTTCCTCGGGCATGATCGTGCGAGTCAATTGTGTACCTGCGTTGGGTGCAAGAGTGTTAACAAAAATGTTGTACTTCTTGCCCTCAAGAGCGAGAGACCTGGAGAAACCAAGGATGCCCAGCTTTGCAGACGCATAGTTGGCCTGTCCGAAGTTTCCGTAGATACCACTGGTAGACGTGGTGTTAAGAACACGTCCGTACTTCTGTTTCAAAAAGTATGGCCAGGCAGCCTTTGTGACCGCGTAGGTACCGTAGAGATGGACTTGGTGGATGATCTCCCACTGGTCCTCGGTCATGTTGGCGAACGCCTTGTCACGGAGAATGCCAGCGTTGTTGATCAATACGTCAATACGACCATAGGCATCGATTGCGCCCTTGACGACGGCCTCGCCATCGACGACGTTGGCCTTGTTGCCAACAGCTTCTCCGCCCAACTTCTGAATCTCCTGGACGACGGCGTCGGGGTTGACGAGGTCGTTAACGACAATCTTTGCGCCAAGCTTGGAGAAGAGCAGAGCATACGCACGACCAAGACCAGCACCAGCACCAGTGATAAGCACCACCTTGCCTTTGAAGTCGGGGTTTTCTGCTGGTGGGCTTGGTGGAAGCTTCTGGGCTGTCTCGAGGATCTCCAACGCATTGGCAGGGCCTTGAGGGTGCTCCGCTTCGGCGAAATTGACAACGTCTTTCCACTTTGCGGCGAGGGCACCAGGTGTGAGCGAGTCATCGGGCTTCAAGAACGCACCCTTAGCTCGCTCCCACCTGATCTTGGCTATGTGGCCACCGCCTACTTCGTAAATGGAGCCAGTCTCAGTGTTAGACTTGTGGGTGAGGACAGCAACGAGAGGAACGATCCATTTTGGCTTCAGATTCTCGAGCACATCTGGGGGCATGACGGTCTCGGTCATTCTGCTAGCGGCGATGGGAGCGATGATGTTGGCAAAGATGTTGTACTTGAAACCCTCCTTGGCGAGAGTCTCTGTGAAGCCAACAAGAGCCAATTTGGCAGCTATCACATGTTAGTTCCGAATTTGAATGAACAGGTCCAATGCAGTCATACCAGAGTAATTTGTTTGTCCGAAGGAGCCAAACAGGCCAGCTGCCGACGCGGTGTTGATCACTCGTCCGTACTTCTGTTTCCTGAAGTAGGGCCACGCAGCTCGTGTGCAGCTCCATGCGCCATAAATATGTACTTTGTAGATCAAATCCCAATCCTGCTGCTTCATGTTCTTAAAGCTGACATCTCGAAGGATACCAGCGTTGTTGATGAGAATGTCGATGCGGCCGAAATTGTCGATAGCAGTCTTAATGATGGACGCGCCATTCTCCACAGAGTCGTAGTTGGCAACGGCTTTTCCGCCAGCGGATCGGATCTCGTTGACGACGGCATCGGCAGCCTGTGATCAAATGTGTTAGCCGGTTGCATCATTTCCATCATGTAGCATGGCCCCGGAGATGAGTAAATGCCGATGCTTCCAAGCTGGTGTGGGGCCCATGAGGTCGTCGCCAGCTCGACTACCAACCATTCGAGCTTCACGCCGCTAGTTGTTCTCAAGAAATCAACTTACCTGTGAACCTTTACCCTCGCCTTTGAAGCTTCCTCCAAGGTCGTTCACGACGACATTTGCGCCGCGGCTACCGAAGAAGACCGCATATTCGCGACCGAGTCCTCCGCCAGCGCCAGTGACGACGACTGTCTGACCCTCGTATCGCAATTCTTGAGGAGCCATGATGTATCAATATCTCACGCTCAGTAGGAGTGCTCAGCTGGATAGATTGATGTCCCTTGTATTCAAAATGTGGAAGGAATGAGGAGGGAAGGATGAAAGCCGGCAGTTGAATACTTCTTGCCGAACTGCACCTCTAATGTCTAAGTAAGAGGAATAAGAGGTGATGAGGTGAATAGGGAGCTTATTCAGAGGCGTGGTTGAGAGGGATGAAAGGGAGGAGGAGGAGGAAACAAGACGGAACAGGTTGGAGAGAAATGTTGTTGGTTAAAATGGAACCCGCGACTCCTCAAGTGCGCACAGCTTGTGAAAGGGACCTCGTTCCGTCGCGGTCGGTGATGACATGCCTCGGTACAAAGTCACGTGGACAAGGAGATGTGGGGAAGGCGCGGATGTTGGAACTTCGGCTATCACATGTTGGCGTGGCCTCTCCATGGTCATACCTCACGCGCTACTCGCACTGCTTGACACGCTGACGACAAGACAGAGACATTTGGCATCATGTGCCATTATTAACTCCCGAAAGTCGCAAATGTTGTCTTAACAGTAAAATGAACCGAAAGAGTGGTCCGGAACAGTCTCATTATCGCGTGGATTGCCGCAAACTACGCAGAGCTTTCCCGGGCTCCATCCCAAAGCAGCTACAGTTCTGCCCGCTTACCTCGTACGATGCGTCTCGGCCATATTCCAGTCCTTTCGTCGGCTCCCTTTTACTACGACATGCCAAATGTCCAGTGAACTATGTGTAACTTCTTCATTGAAAAGAGCCGCATTTTGTGGGGCATTTCTCGGTCAAGAACTTTAGCCTAACTCGTAATATCCCCCACACAATTACGAGTATGGGGTATTGCCACGCAAGGATAAAGAAATTTCCGATCTTATAAAAGTATGTTGTATATGACTAGAAAATAGTACTGCAGCATGGCTCTAAGCCCTCAACCACTGATCAATGCTTTCCCATCTTCATCTTTTGAATCAACTTTCTCACCCTGGACGGCTCGGATGGTGTCTCTTCCTCCTCAACTTCCTCGAATCTCTTTCGATCAGTAATAAGATCCATATTCTGTGCAGTGACCATCTTTGTCTTGTAGAAGAACTTCCATGCAAATATGTTGACGAGGTACACAAAGACACCGATATAGCACGTCATGAACGTGGACACGCGGAACGAAGGCATGAACGCATTATAGCCTAGCAAATTTTGTCAGAACGGAACCTTGAAGAATGAATACAATTAAGAGCACCGCAGGTTACATACCATTAAAGAAGATGATCAAAGCAGTCGTTATGAGAGCAAAGTATGCACCATATGGCTGAAGCGGGCCACGGTACGGCATGTCCGAAATGGAAATGCCTTGGGCCTTCACTCCTTTCGTGAATTGAATGTAAGAAACGAGTATACTGATCCAATTGAGCGTTCCAAACACGGTGACAAGACTGACAAAATAACCGAATACAGTCGATGTAGATTTTGCAACGTTCAGATATGCCAACAGTGCAAATGCGGACGTCGCAGCGACTCCGTAGATCGGCACTCCATTTCCAGTGGTACGGACGAAGATGGCAGGGGCCTGGTGGGATTTTGCTAGTGAGTACAAGGTTCGCGCACCCACGTAGATATCTTCGAACGGTCAGTGAGGGACGGCTTATGTGCGAAGAGAAACATACCAGTGTTAGCCGCCGATATCACGAATACGAGAAGACAGCCATTGATGATATCAGGTAGGACAGAGATGCCTGCCAGCTGTATAGCAATGACATAGGGCGACGCAGCCGCTGATGTCTTAGCTTTAGTGGCCCCCACAAGACGATCATTGTCATGTGGGATCACCATGCCCAGAAGGAAGACACCGACAATGTAGAAAACGCATATACGCCAAAGAGTCTGTTGCACTGCACGAGGAATGTTGCGTCTGGGATTTGGTGTCTCCCCAAAGGCGGCACCGACAACTTCTGTTCCCGTGTAGGCAAAGCAACTCTGCACCATGCAAGCCCAGAATCCAAGGAATTTTCCAAGCGGTCCAGGCTGTAGGTATTCTGCGAAAGCTCCTGGCTTGTTCCAATAGCGGAACCCGAGCCTCTCCTTGCTAGGTCCGCCTCCTAGTGCAATAACCAAACAGGTCATCATGACCATGAGGAGCGTAGCAATCTTGATCACCGAAAGGACAAATTCTGACTCGCCAAAGGAGCCAACATGGAGAACGTTGATCGCGATAATCACTACTGCGAAGACCGTGATCCAGATGGCAACATTGAGATCTGGTCTCCAGTACTGGATGATGAGACCAGCCGCAGTCAAATTGTTGGCGAGAACGATTGCATATTTGAAGAAGTAGTTCCATCCGGTCGCGAATCTGCATGATGTTAGCCCCCAATGTAACACACAAATTAGGCTCAAATGAACTTACCCAAGAGCAGGGTCGACAAAACGATCTGCGTATCCACTGAAGCCCTGGTCCATAGGTAGAAATGCGGACATCTCTCCCATAGCCGTCATGACAAAGTAGATGATGGCACCGGTAATGGAATAAGCGATAAGTAGACTAGCTGGTCCACCCCTTGCCAGACCTTGCCCTGATCCAATGATCAAGCCAGTTCCAATGGCTCCTGCAATGGCTAGCATGTTGACTTGCCTCTTCTTCAAACCTCGTTTGAGGTGGCTGGAAGAGTCAACAGGCAACATCTCGCCTTCTGATGCAGTTGCAGATGGACCAAGTTCGTAGTCCTTCATGTCTTGTTTGAGATCAGAACGACCCTCCATTTTAATGAGTGTCGTGAGTAAATATACAAGACAACGAAAAGTCGATGATGTTTCGAGATATCAAGAGTGCCTCTTTGGAGGCTTCAAGATATATATAGGCCGTTCATGCACAAGATAACCCTATCGGGTAGAGATACAGAATGCGGGGATAACTGTGGGGATTCGATAACGATACGCAATTCATGCTCCGTGGTAAATGATCAATTGTTTCCGTAGTGAAGTTTTCAAGATACCATGCGGTGGATGAAATCCGCTCTGGTGACATCTCGGCCCGATTCAGTAGTGTGAAGCAGCGCGGAGGATGACCACCGCGCGGCTATCAATTGAGGGATAACGCAAAATGAACGCCGCGATTGTTGCGTATAAATGAAACAACATTCGAGTAGAGCTGACAATATGATAATTGAATTTTCCAGAAAGAAACTCTTCACAAATCTTTTAATTTCTACCTTAACTTCTATTCCAACTTGATTTAAAGAACGGAAAATGGGTCGAAATATTGGCAACGCTGGCCTGAATGGTACACACGCTAAGACTGGGCAAGATGTATCCAAATTCCGGGGACTTGTTCCTCTAGTCGCCAGCTCAGAGATAACTTATCTCAATGCATCGTTCCAACCACCTGTGAACTCTCGAGTCAAAACTGCACTCGATGACTTCTTGGAACAAGGATTCACTCACCCAAATCCGAAGCCAACATGGCAGAACAACACCATCGAAGCACGCGAGTTATTGGCCGAGTACTTCAATGTGACGCCTGAAACATTAGCATTTACACGGGACACTACCGAGGGGCTCAACCTATTTCAGCGATCGATAAAGTGGCGACCAGGCGACAATGTCGTAGTCCTGGACACCGAGCATCCTAACCACGTATATGGATGGCTTGCACTGGTAGAGCAAGGCCTTGAGGTCAAGCGCATTCCTCCTGGAGATCTAGGATACGCAAATGCGTCCACCTTTGCGTCGCATGTTGACGAGCGTACTGTCGCTATTGGTTTATCAACCATCATGTTCCACAATGGACAATTGAATGATGTCGAAGATATCTGTGCTCAGTTCCGCCCGAGGGGCGTACATGTTCTTGTCGATATGACACAGCATGTTGGTATAGCACCAATTGACCTCCAGGCCTGGAATGTATCAGCTGCTGCATTTGGATGCCACAAGGGGCTTGGGTGTCCCACAGGACTCGGCGCCCTATATATACATCCCGAGGTTCTGAAAGATTTAAAGCCAACACCTCCGATCGTAGGAGCTGGTGCGATCTCGAATCTTCCTGGGACGTTACTGGCAATCCCGGATGTGCAGTATCATCCTACTAGTCAAAGGTACGAACACTTGAATGTCAGCCTTTCAGGCACCACAGCATTGAAAGCGTCACTCCAACTTCTCTTGCACGAGATAGGCTTTGAGAATGTGGAGAGACACCTCCGCGCGTTAGGACGTGAGTTGATGGAGCGATGCCAATCAGCGGAAGTGGGTGTGGTAGGAAGTACAGCAACTGAGCGGAGAGCACCACATTTGTACGTCTTGCGGCTCCTCGATCCTGCCTGGAAAGATCATTTCCAAGGCGAAGGCATATATGTTTCGCAATATCGCGACGGCGTACGCGTATCGCTTGGGTTTTACAACAATGTCGGCGATGTAGATAGACTGCTTGGGTCGATTGAGCGAGGTCTGCGCAAGGGGCTTTCAAGAGGGTGAAATGACAGGGGTCAATTGCACGCATAGCATATCTTCAAGTTAATTATCAGATGATGTATTGTAAAGTTAGGTCCATGTGCTGAGCATTGAGTAAGATCAGGTAGAAACGCGACAACCAAATTGGAAAGTAATATATCATCAAGCATAGATATAATAGATCGCAAAGAGCTCCCCAAGAAATTCTCTCTTTTCAGATACCCTTTTATACACCTGCATTATAAGTGATAAAGTGCACCCGTATGTGAAAACTTGCTTTGTGGTGTTGTAACGTTAGGTGCCCGCCTAGGCCAATTTTGAGAAGCTAAGTCATGATTCTGGAACTCCCATAATTTAGCACACACCTGACACTTTACGTCACGATGCTAGCACCTACTTCGAAAGACATGTAACAATATCACACGCATCTGTATATTATGTGACCGCAAGAATTGAAGCTGTCGTATGGATACTACACGTCGCCTTGCGTAGGTATCTTACTATGCTTTACGTATCCCTGCTGACCCCTTACAAGGTGCAAACGGTGTCAGGCCCGTAAAGTTAGTGCAACCCGCATTTCCGTCTATTTGCCATCAATATAATCTGATCAGTCGCATAGATCAAATGTAATAGGGTCCAGCCATGCTCGAATTGCATACAGGGTAAACATAATTGCGAATATCGTGCGAGCGATGGCCGCAAACACCCAGTCTCGCACAAGTACTTGGGTGCGCTAGAGGCGCGTCTTGCATGGTTTGAATCACTCACGCAGAATCTCAAAAAAGCATCGAACGAAGAGCGAGACAAGCTCCTCGCCGGGGTCACCCTTGATGACCATCTTGAAGGTCAGAATGGATTCGATATCGCCGACTCACAGCAACAACCGTCCTCATCCACTGGTCCGGAATCAATAGGCACACCGCAGGCATCCTCACTACGCTCCGGACCACAAGGAGGCCTGCAATACCATGGGCCCACAAGCATATATCTGGATGCTGATGCAACTGAATCGCCAGCCAAGGAGCCCCAGCCAATGGCCCCTCTTGAAGTTGTCCATACCTTCCCTTCCTCTCATTTTGATGCTCTCAGTGTCGTTCGTCTGGCATCATCCCTAGGAGTTGACGACGACTTGGTACGAGAGACGCTGCCACTATTCTTCCTGCATCAGTACCCTTTATTCATGTTTATCTACCGGGAGGCTTTTCTTTCAGATTACTATGACAATACCCATGGGGGCCGCTACTGGTCCTACCCATTGCTATATTCGATGTGTGCACTTGGTGCACCACACTCTAAACGTGTTGAAGTACAGATGAAGAAAGAATTACTTGCGCGGTGTGCACAAGAGATCCTCATGTCTCATTGCCTGACAAGGCCTTCACCAGTAACCATACAAGCACTGTTGTGTCTCGCCTTCCACGAGGTTGGGCAGGGCAACGCATCGCAAGGATGGCTGTTTTCTGGGATGGCCTTCAGAATGGGTCAAGACATAGGTTTCCATCAGGATCCCACACGCTGGATTCTCCAAGATCGCAGCATAGTATCACCAGAAGATATCGAAATACGCCGACGCATATACTGGGGGAGTTACGTTGCTGATAAGCTTATCAGTCTGTACCTTGGCCGCCCCGTCTACCTTCGCGAGGATGATGCAGCGGTGCAAATCAGTACTCCGTTGCCAGATTTTCCTGACAGCCATGACTGGTTCGGATTCTCTGAGATTGCTACCCAAAACGCAATCGACTTGCAGAAGCCTCAACTCACCAGTGCACTCAAGCACATGGTCTTACTAGGAAAGATTTCTCAAGACATGATGACAAACGTGTTTGCCTCTACGCGTAACGGGCAACATAGTGACGTAAACCGGCTGAACCAGCTTGGTGATGTCAATCTAAGACTGAACAAATGGCACACCTCGTTGCCGGATGCCTTGCAATGGAGCCAATGGAGCGTGAACAAGAACGTGCGTGCACATATTCTGGTCTTGCATCTATATTATCATGCAATGCTATTATCCCTCAACCGACACTTCGTCAAACCATCAAATGGCTTTCCACACTCGCCACTTTCGCGAGACATTTGTACGTCATCCTGTTCGACAGTGGCGATCCTGGTTCGACAATATAGACTACAGCATGGTCTTAAAACTGCACCATTGATGCTCGTATACGCCCTAGTCATGGCTATTATCACGCAAATGCGCATTTTGAACGAAGGATACGGTAGCTTGGACTTCCTAATAAAATCTCTTGATGAGTGTGGTCGCTGCTACAAACTTGCAGCCGAGGCACGGTCAAGCCTAGCGACCTTGATGAATAGCCGTGAGGCTCCCACAGCGGGCCTGGGAAATGGTAGCGATGGACGTCACGGTGACAACGTGGAAGAAGAAGGAGGGGTTCTCGAAAGAGATAACATCGATACCGCAACCGACGAACACTTTGATGCCTCAAGCCTGGATGCACCTCCCAATTTGGCTACTAACTCGTTCCCTGAGCTGGGTGGATTAGCCGGAGATCCAGTGCTCGATGCAGAGAATTTCGACTTTCTTGGCTTCACTGATGTCAATGAGAGCTTTAATAGTTGGTTCTCCATCGGGCAAATGGGATAGCAAGTCCGAAGGCCTAAACGGAGATCCGGCATGGCTCTTTATCAATCCCATGCCCTCCCAATTCAGTTGTTGCTGGAATACTGCGTGAAAGGAAAAGTCTTTTTAGGCGGCATTGGACGGATCATGTGGGAGACGAGGAAATTCTTTTCACCAAATTCAATGAAACATGCGTTTACCAAATGTTCAGCCACTTGATTATCCATGCAAACTAACAGTAGCGCATGTGAACGCATTGACTGCCCCTTCAGAGCATACCCACCCCTTCCAGTCACCCATAGCTACACAATGGGGTAACGAATTGGTCTTTTTCGGCCTTTGATAAAAGCCTTTCACGGGTCCCACATAACTATTATAATGCTTTCGACGGTGGCACACCGTGCGCCTTCACCATAAAGTCATCCGAAGGCGGGCTGTTTTGATTGGGTCTTGCGAGTCTGCTCGAAAGCTGCTCTCAACGACGGCGAAATAACGCCATCTATTGGGCGAGTCATTCTAAGTATGTACAAGAATTTCGGGTCCAGCTTATACGGGTACTCCCGCTCGTACAGACAAGGGGCTATTCCAAGTGCCGAGCAGAACTCTACTTGACAAGTATTCGACCGACGTGACTGAGGTACTATCCGTTCCATTTCCAACAAGCCTCTCAGCCCCAGTATTCAAGTATTGACTCTCTTTTCTGACTGTATTACATCTCATCTGCGAACTGACCCTGTGTCGACCGAATTCTTTTCAAACACAATGTACGAGGTTGAGAAAAAGACGTGGCCTCTCTCGCTCGACTCGCTTCGATGGCAGGCCAGGTTTCAAATACGGGTGGACACCTTTTAGACCCGACCCGCCTTTTCGCATTTCCACTCCATCGGTTCCTTTCATGACATCTCAATGCCACGGCCAAAGGTTTGAACGAGGATTCACGAAACACATATACAATGTGAACTTTGAAATGTTTGCCTATCGCGAGCTTTCGATGGCGTCTCCAGGTCATTCAGCTGAAAACCCAGAGGTCAGAAATACAACGTGAACCCCAATAGCATTCCAAGTAACAAAGACACCGGCAATGTTTGGACAAGCTGACAACTCAGTTTATCAGCTTGCAGGCTGCGGCGCGCCAATCAATCCTAGACAACAACACCAGAACGCAGACGGGGAATGATGCTATGGCACCACTCTCGGATCTAATGGACGATTGCTGGGACAAAGAGGACGTTCGTTGAGTCGATAGGAAGGCGAACTCAATACGTAAAGTCGGATCAGTTGATAAGTTGTTTAAAAGCGGTTGCGACGCGCTGTATGTACGTAAGTGGGATTTTCTCGAGCATAGAATGTCTCTATGATAGGCAAAGACACGGTTTCCTCTTCGAATCCAGTGCTGATACGTTCTTCGCGCCAGTCTCTCGAATGAAGTCGATCAGAGCGTGCTCACTATGAAACCACGATGCCGAACGCAACCACCACATAACGCCGAGGGCTGGCCAGTAGCCATGACCACCGCGGTCGAAAAGAACATACTACACATCCTGGACGCGTGAAAATATCGGACTAATTGGTGTGTGAACGTAGCTCTCGTCAAAGTACCCTTTCGCGTAGGCTGTTTGCATTGTGTACTGCATAATGACGGAGAGGATAGTGGATCGCCTGCTTAGAGACCTTGTGAGATGAACTTGAAGATGCTAATTCGATGTTCTCTCTGGATTGATCTTCATGTCTTTCGCGGAGGCGAGGTTCAAGCACTGTGTTTGGGGCCCATTCAAGTGACAGGAAGTACCGAGGGGAATCCAATAGCATGCTCGCTATCGCACATTACACTGTCGACTTATTCGTCAATAGTGCCGAGTCTTCGTTTCCCCTGATTGAGTGGTTGATAGTAAGTGTCCGCTTAATCTTGCAGCTCAGGTGATCTGTAGCCTGTTGAGTGTTCCTGCCAGTAGTAGAATAGCAATAGAAAGACAAACGAATGCTCATTGCCACATGATAGCACGATCTGCCTGAGCAGAACTTTTACAAAATACTACCCATGGCCACATCATCTTGGGTCCCCTGAGGTAAGGAAGGCATGGGTGGGAAATTGCCCCCGCCCTGGTCTCATGGCTTCCAGATTTCAAGCATGTCGAGAGCCTGCTTTGCGGTAGACCAAGCAGCCATTCTTTAGCGTATGCAATTCCATTCAATGAAATGCCGCCGTTTATATCTTGGAATGTTCTGATAGCGCAGCTGAATGATGGCCACAGTCATCTGCTCTTTACTAAATGGCTTTTTGGTGACGTACTGTGAACATGATACAACACACTATGCACAAGTGGTATAGTTCAACGTGCCGGGCACCTGTAGAAACCAGTAATTATATGACTAGCGGGGTTCAATTGCGGCAGGAGACAAATACAAGGCCTGCGCTTCAATTTAACCTTCAATTGACAGTGCTACTTCATCTGTCGCATTGCTTAGTTCTCTTCCTGCTGAGAACTAGACCGGTTGATTTGGGGGTCGATAACAGGGACAACCTGCGGCCTGTAGGTGGCTTTTGGGCTACTTTCTTATTTTGGTTGTTTGCGTGGTAGTGCCAAACCCAGGTCAATCTCTTTCAGAGTTGCGTGGGGTTCCTTTAATATCCAGCTCCTGGAATCCGAAGAGCCAGGTGTAGACTGTAATGTGGCCAAGGTATATGATATGGCAACATGCACTGCTGTGCGCAAGAAATAACACTGGAGGTGCTCGGCAAATAGCATCTTGCTAGGACACCTCAGCTGTTAAAAACCACATGCTGTTGTATTGAAGATCGTTGCATGCCCCAGTGAGGATGGAACAGGGCCGTGATGTAGAGTCAGAATGCATGGGACTCTACCTTGCGTAATAGCGCGCGTCGTGTTGGGGACGATTATTGCATCGTGATGCTAGTCTCGACTGTACTTAGACCGACTGGCAGACGGGTATCGAGAGTGGGTCAGACATATCGTTCCTCATTACCAGGAAGAGCGAGGAGGAGGAAGGCCAGCTGGATCTCTTTGACGTCTGGCCCCTTCTTTTCTTTTAGAACGACGAAGTTGAGTTGAAGCCTGGCCGATGCCGTCGTCTACTAACCCACGCTTCATTCTCGGGAGCCGAACATGCCGCTCATGGGTAGGCGAAAGGTGTGAGAATATGAAGATGAGCCTATAATGAAAGATAGAGCTCGTCACCACTGGTTTGGAACGATTTCTGTAACCATCGTCCTGGGTCTTATTTGATTTAGAAAGTCATAGCGCCATGGGGGCCGTCTGGGGTTTAGAATCCTGAGATTACTCGGCAGCCTCCGCGAAATCCTTTCGTACTTACACAGTATTCGCAGTGATTTAGCTCGGCCTTATTTCGTGAATGCTCGCTACTAATACTTCCGCGTTAGCCCTCGATATCTGCACGCAGCTAGTGGGATGATGTGCGTAGTGAGGTCTAGCATCAGATAGATCACCTTCCGCGTTTGCCCAATGCCACTCAATGACGAAAGTCCATGTCCATAAATCCAAGTAGGTGCGCCCGGGCCCATTCTCACTGCCAATCGAATTCCCCCATTACTTAGCGCCGTTGATAGAGCATGGAGGTTAGCCATCATTACGATGCATCCGGTATTTGTCTCCATACACCAATGTCCCCAATGCTTCAAAACTGTTGATGTTTGGTACTTCCGATGTTCCTCTACTGCTTCTCCTTTGCTTTCTTCAGATGGAGAGCCATAATACATGTAGCCATCCAAGCTTGCAAGAACTAGACCGATTGTTTGGTGTAGGCATGGCCCCCATATGTCAAGGTGTTTTAATGCAGTTAGTGCGCGGGCGAACTGCGCCGGGACGAGGGAAGACCAGCATAAGGCCGTTCCCGCCAGTTTGAATTGAGGTTCGCCAGGGTTTTGTGGCGCCTGACCTGAACAACTCATCAGTTCCTAGCATCACTCATCCCCGAAAGCCCAATGAGGGGCTCATTGAGGGGCTCTCTTTAACATCTGATCGTGTAGTACGTGCTCGGTCGTCTCGATTCTTTTTTATCAACCCAAACAAGTTAATAACTCGTCTCCGCAATCGGGAACGTGTGAAATTCCGATTTTTGTCCAGCTTCGTTCCAAAGGGTTGTGACCAACTGCGTCATGTTGCAGGACATTGAGTGAAACCCTGAGGTGGCGAGGGAAGGATAAGGGGTAGTTCGGTCACGACTAGAATCAACTTTGTGCCGCGAGAACTCGACTGAATCGTGATAGAATCGCATCTTTCATACAGCAGCCGATATACCAGGCTTACTGTCCTAGCGCCTCTTCACGAAGTGAGCAGTGTTCATCTCCTGGTGACGAAGTCATGAATGATATAGGGATTGCACAATTCATCCTCGATAGACCAGGGTCCCCTTCCCTGTGGGGCGTACAGCATGCAATGGAGAGTGCATGCAGTTTTTTTTCGTGTTTCCGCTTTTGTTTAATTGGTGGGTTCCAGGAATTTTTGGAAGGTTAAAGGCGAGTGATATATAATAGGCCCAAGCGAGACAGAAAGCTTGGCGAGTCTAGAGAGTAAAGACGTAAAAGCATAGAGTCTCTTGGTGAGTTCCTACAGTCAGTTATCAAGGCTGATCGTTTGAGACCGTACATTCGAATCAAGATGTCTAGCGCTCGCGAAGAGCTGAGAATTGTCAATATCCATGACAGAGACTTTCAGAAGTATTCCGTCGACAACCGAATATACTGTGTCCCAGTAGACGACGTACGTGAGCAACTCCTTGGGGTCGATGGGACTATAAGAGATCTGTTCCAATTAACTGGCTGCCAGTATGAAGAAGAAAGATTGCACTTACAGCATGAGTTACTTTTGAGAGTCTGTGATCAAAAGTTATTCTTTCCCCCTATTGAGTATCCCTTGTCAGTACTGGACTGTGGTTATGGAAGAGGCGAATGGGCGGTGGCTATGGCAGAGAACTACGAAGAATGTGAGGTCAGTTCTCCTTATTCCCTTACCCCAAGAGTGTGGCAATGATGCTTAGGTTGCTGTCATTAGCACCATGACCAAATTCTTACTGAAGCGTGCGTAGGTGACTGGAATTGACATCTATCCAATCTCTTTACCAGACGAACCAGATAACCTCGATCTTTTCGGTTACAATCTCAATGATAGGCTGACTGAAGTATGCAATCGAAATTCCTACGACCTAGTCCATTCGAGATTCGTCGCACCCGGTATAAAGGCCAATCGGTGGCCGTCTTACACCAGAGACATGAAAGCTTTATTGAAACCCAACGGTTGGGTACAGATGATGGAATATTACCCAAACATCCAATCAGATAATGGAAGACTTTCAAGACAGTCTGCACTTACGAAGTGGTGGAGAAAATATGCCGCAGCAATGGAGGCAATGAACAGGAACCCCAGAATAGGGACCCGGCTCCAGGATTTGATGAGGGATGCCGGACTACGAGACGTTAGGGGGACAGCTTTGCATCTGCACATAGGTGATTGGGACCAAGGTATGTTCAACCAAGCCGTTTGCTTATGTTCCTTAATGAAGTTTGAGAACAGTGTTGAAGCCAGGTCAATTTGTGTTCCTGAACTAATACCATCCATTAGACCCCGTAAAGGCGAGTATTGGAAGAGATAATGCCGAGCAGGTTAGAGAGCTTCTCGAGTCCTTGGCTGTCTGGCCGTTACCAGAGCTTCCAGATTGGGACATTACGAAAGTCAATGCTCTCGTGGACGATGCACGCGCTGAAATTCGCGACAGGACATTGAAATTGTATATTACAGTGTAAGAGCTCTTGAAGATCTCGTTTCATAGTCAAACTGACCAACATTCCAAGCTACGTTGCCTGGGGTCGCCGTAGCAGTCGGGGATGAATGCGTCCACTTTGGTGCTTGGGTCGCTCTGCAGCAAGACAAGGGAAGGGTCGTCCCTTATCTTGCCGGCGCCGTAGTTTCAGTAAAGCTGTTCGATCGTCAGATCAGTCTGTTCAATTCACCCCAAATGAAGTATTCAAATAACTACTGTACAATTGTGGGTACACTTCTGCCAAGACTCAACCGTGGATATGAGATGATCGAAGTGAGACGGCGCAAAACGGTCAATTGCTTTGACCTCAAAATGGCTGTATGCGCATCCCACCGGACGCGATGTGGCAGTTCATGTGGCGACTGTGCAGCGATAATCTAAGAGCTCGTTCTGGCAGGACGGACCCAATATCAGACAGAGAGGCTGATGAAATGCCTTCCCTGCGGACTTAGAATCAATGTCGATCGATTCTATGAGATTCCGGGCCATAGTGAGCCCAGAAAACTGTGCGGTATGGAACAAGGTAAGCGGAAGGTTGTCGGGATACTGGAGCGAGAACGACTTAAAGTCATCTGGTATCGAGCATGGGGTCTACCGATAGAGTAACAAGGCAATGAATCATGAGGGGAAGGGAAATTGACTGCAAAAGATACTGTGGTTGCTGAGGGAGGAAGCTTGGGAATGTAAGGATGACGACGGTAGGTTGTGAGGTGGGATTAAGAGATTTGGGCTCCGTTAGGTTCCACAAGAGGAAGCTCCCACATAAAAGCATATTATGGCTGGCTAACAGGCATCCCAGCCGGCAGCTACTAGTAGTAATCGGCATTGCATACTTGCACGACTCACTCTTCCGATTCGTCATGCTGCCACACTGATAATGACAGTTACAAGAACGCCCCGATCCCTCCCTGTTAGGCACCAAGGATTTACGGCACCTGGAATCGATGAACGATTATTGCCGATGTGTGCATAGATCTTGTCCAGTATATCGAATCCTCATCAAAGCGGACGTCTGTTCTTATTATCTGGCCTGGTTGCCTGGTTAGTGGTCAATTCACAAACTGATGGCATTATTAATTTGTGCACGTCTATTCAAGGACGTTCGATCCGCCCTGCACATTGATATTATTGGACAATTGAGAGAATCCTGCTTCCCCGAGTCCTGGCCCCCGACAGGTTGGTACCGAGCTTGCGGTAGTGTCAAGCCCACCGCCATGACATGACGCGGGACGAGAAGTCACAATGAGTATAAGTATACCGGGTACGGAGAACATTGAACGAAACGGTCTCCGCAAGGAACACCTGCAATGTCTCCAGATACGACCTTCCTCGATCATTAACCTCGGTGCTGCAATGCTCCAGACCAACAATTTCTTACACCATAATCACATAAAAGAGTAGTCTCCCGAACCCTGCGTAGTTGGCAACCCGACGTGTGCACATATACAATGACACAACCTTGTTCCGACTCACATCTCGGGCCGAGCTCTATCACAGTCATCACAAATTAGATTCATCTCTACCTGATTCGACTGTCAATACCGATTACGCTAATAAAGTGTACAAATCAACGCAGACTTTGTAGATGTCATACACACAAAGCAAGCTACGCTATTTCTATCCCCTTGCTCACCAGCCGCTGCCTAAGCATTCGACAAGTGCCGGGTGAACTGCTGTACACTAAAAAAAGTAGCTTTATGAAGACGTCCAGTATATGCAGGTGTCTGTTTATTGGCAAATATGGCCCAGAGACCGAACCGACTGGAGCTTAGTGTGGCTATTGGTTCGTGCACCGGGGAAACGGGTTCAGATGAGGTCCGCATCGTCCCTCTTCCACGTGAATGTTGGCCTGCACACGATTTACGTATATGTATCCATTGAGGATTATGTGTAGATTGGCATCGACGGATGCGCCTGGCAGGGTAACGGGCACCCATTGAATCCCCCAAACGGCTTACCAGGGTCCAGGAGCCCGGTCAATTGACTCTGCTGGCCAAGCGTGACATAATTATAAAGACTCTTCTTGAGCTGTCGCTACACATACCATGCTCTCCTGTAATGCTGTACTGAGGTTCCCAAGTGCGTTGACTAGGCATGTGAGTGACATGCCATACAGTATGTAGGTAGACATGCACGTCAGAAATCGGGCCGTGAGCCGGGTACTGACTTGCCGTAACCTTTGATTATCATTATGCGGAAGAATACGACAGAGTCAGGAAGTCCATGGGCTTCGAAAAGCCGCCAATCGCTCCACGAGCTGGTCGGCTGTCACTCTCAAAACGAACACGTTGATCTCTCATGTCGACACATCATGCCTGCATTCCTGATCGTTGGATGCTTCCTATCGGTAGTCAATTGTAGGCATTGCGCAGGGTCAATACCCTAATATTTTTCGCGGATTGATCGGGAGTGCATTCACTGTCATCGGTTTTAAGTGACTGCAAACAAATGCAGGATATTCTTTCGATACTCTCTGATCTTAGGCGTGCTGTAGTTATCAAACTTGTTCGACAAATCCCATCGTCACGCTCGACGCCTTTTAGGCTGATCACCATGACGATCACCCCTTTTCTGCGTTAGACTCACATAACCGATCTCGGTTGACGCGCGGTCCAGCCAGAGCAAGCGAACCCTCTCTGAGTTCTCCAGTGGTGGAAGAAAGACCATGACGACAATTTAATATATGTAGTCGTTCTAGGACGTGACCGCCGGGTAGATGGAAATGAAGCCTGGCAACATATCCATATGGCAGCCTACATAAACCACTCGGAGGCTCACCTGAGTGGGACCCTCAGGGTGCCATTACCATCAGCCAGGTCGACGATATGCGCTGTTCGTCCTCATCAATTCCAATTCTACTAATCACCTTGGCCTTTGCCATTTGCGGTGTAGATTGCTCGGGGTGGAAGAGCAAAAACTTCACGACCCTAGTCACATTCGGCGACAGCTATTCTGATGAAAGTCGACTGGGATACTTCATCAACAATAATGGCTCAGCGCCTCCTGTCGGTTGGGAACAGCCAGTTGTAAGTGATATGGTCCCTTTTCGTGTCTGTTCCTATCATACCACCGTCAATCCACCGGGTCATACACGCCACCTGGTAGACACAGCTATTGCAATGCACTATCCCATCAAGTTATACCCACCCTTTCCCCATATGTATCCGGTAAGATGGAGATGATGGATTAATTAAGTCATCCAGGGACTAAACACAGCATCGGGGGGACTGTCTTGGGCACGACTTGCTAGCATATATTCTTCAACCAAGCTTTACAACTATGCCGTTTCTGGTGCCGTCTGCTCCAACAAGATCAGCCCTCGAACATTCGCCGCCATCAAAGCCCCCTTCCCGGACGTTGCCGGCTACGAGATACCAGCCTTTAAAGCGGACTCACGATATATTTCCCGAAATGGAACTGCTTTCTTTTCTGGCACGCCAGAGAATACCGTCTATGCTATCTGGATCGGGACCAACGACCTAGGCAACGATGCATTCTTGACGGATTCCCAGATCCGGGGTAAGACGCTCAAAGATTATGTGGATTGCGTCTATTCTGCTATTGATAGCCTCTACGAGAACGGAGGGCGCTACTTCGTCCTATTGAATGTAGCACCACTCCAATTGCTCCCACAATACGCGACACCGGAGAATGGAGGCCTCAATGCTACCAAATTCTACCCAGACAAGGGCTCCAACATCACCGAGATCAGCTACCGCATGTACGAAAGCGTCACTACAGTCAACGAGGTATTCAAGTACAGGACTCCATTTGAGACAGAGCTAGAGAAGCGCTGGAAAGACGCTCAGATTGCCAATTACGATGTCAACGCCCTCATCACGGACATTTGGAACGATCCGAAGTCTTACTTGAATGGAACTGCATCTCTGAATGTCACGGCGCCTATCTTGTCTTGTGACGCGACAGGCGATATCTGCACAAATGTGGAGGACAAATCAGCAAGAGACAGCTATCTCTGGTTTGATGAGTTGCACCCCAGCGAGCAGGCTTCCAGGATAGTAGCTCGCGAATTCGTGGGTGTATTGAGTGGTCAGAGCAAGTGGGCAAAATACTGGGGATAATTCAAGTCGCTAGAGAAAACGTACGGCGAATCGTCCACTTATGACCTTGATGTAGATTTACATAAACCGATTGTACCTAGGAATTCTCGATGTACAAAATTTGCCGTAAGCTACGAATATGTCGAGTGTGAATGCATGACTTCTGTACTTGACTAGACTGCACCTTGCCCGGCTAGAAGGTTGCAGTCTATTTAAGCTACACAATATAAAATGGTCATCTGTTATGGGGTTGGTTGAAATGGGCAGTCGCGTTTGGCGGCGCCTATCAAGGCCAATAGGGTGTTGTCAATTCTGACGTCGCTGCCTAGGCGGCGGCACTTTATTTGAACGTCCAGGCTTACAGTGGCTGCTTTGTGGGATAGAGAGACTATGTTGAGTTCTGTGAAATGTACGACCATTGTCAAAGTTGTTAGACCTCCATGCTTTGTGTCCATACTCGGATAGCTTTCCAAAAAGGCGGATGTGCTTCTGTGTGCAGCAGGTTGTATGACGATGCTTGTACCACTATACAAATTTTCAGAGATTGGTCGAACACGAATCTAGCACTCGACACTATCCTTAGCCATAGTCATTCCGCCGTTCTTCTGCATCGAGTCTTAGGTATTCTATTCAGGTCTGAAGTAACCGCCCAGTAATCATAACCAATGCACTTCACACACACAGAGATTAGCACGTAATGATGTTCGCTCGACCATTCATTCATGACTCACACGTGAAAGGTATGCCACGGCTTCCGAGAGGATTGGATAAATTAAACCCTCAACTACTGTTGGTAAAGATCGTCCAGTCTGTACTATAGCAGTGGGGGTTCGCTGAGCATTGAAAAGCAATGAAAAGACCAAGGCAAGAGGTTCACTCAGCAAGCACCACGATAGAAACAGGTCACAGGAAAAGGATGCTTCGAACACCAACATGTTTTTCAATTTGTCGTTCTAATTCTATTCTAGTCCATCAAAACGCCAACCAAATCGCCAGCTACTGCGCTTATCCATGCGCTCATGCAGAACACGAAAGACGAGGAGGATATCCAAGGAAACCACGTTGATGCAGTGACGTAAAGAAGAATGTACCCAGGAAGACCACGCTCATGCAAGAGAGGAATGGAAGAATTCGTAACCGACCATGCAAACCAACAGATGACAAGAAACCCATAAAAGCAAAAGCCACCCAAAAATGAAGAAAGAAATTTGATGAGCCTAGGCTGAATTTCATCGACTACAGAGGCCGTGCAATTAAGCAGCCTGAGTGGCCTCAGTTTCGGTGCCCCAGGAGAAAGTTGGGGTCGGGATTGGGATCACGGAGGAGGTTTCGGCAAGCTGATAGTTGATCTTGAGAGGAGTGAACTCGGCTGGCTCTTCGTAGTAAATTCCCATGGATGCAGTTCCGGCAGGGGCAGTTGGGTAGGCAGTGGGACCACCAGTTCCAGGGTAGGTAGAGGCGGTTCCAACAATCTTGTCACGCTTCTGCTTCCAGTATGGAGCATTGGTTGCGGTTGCGGTTGCGACAGGCTCGGTGCCTGGATAGGTGGAGGGGAGGGAGGTTCCCTGGGATGGGACGCCAACCGTTCCAGTAGCGGTGCCAGTACCAATGGTGCCAGTACCAACGTTGGCCGCAGTGTGAGGGAAAACAGGAGGGTCAATGGCAGTGAAGGTGGCCTTGTTGCCGAAGAAGTTGTCGAAGAACTCGCCGAGGGGCAAGGCAACGGCGGAGGCGGTAAGAGCGATGATGACTGCGGAACGCATTTTGATGTTGATGTGAGAAAATTGGGGAATTGAAAATAATGGAAAGAGTGGAGATGATGAAATTGAATGAATGTGTTTTGAATGAATGGCTATATCCGAAGATATGACAGTAAGGAAAGAGATGAGAAACTGAAAGGAATGAAGCTGTGGATGTTGTTGGTGGCCATTAACTAAGGTGACCACAGCGACCTTTATACATCGATGCGGATGTAAATTCATGGACATAGACGATAGCAAACCATACGAACGTCACCGTCCCAGCATGTCTAGAATTGCTAGATGCCTTTTTCGGAAGTCTTTGAGTGGGGACAACGGAGTTTAGTGGTGTGTATTCAGCACTCATGCACCTGCTACGACCGCGACGGCAAGAACTGCGACCATCACCAAAATAGACCCGTCAATCTCTGGGCGCGTCTGATGGAAGAGAACAATCCGCCGATCCCTCCAATTGCGATCAACAAGAGTTTCGGCGTTTTGAGATGGGCCCTATCAAGAGTGGAAGCTCGGGCACACCGATGGTATCACTCCTTCCTGAACCGCGGCAGGTTCGAGGTTGTTTGACATGGACGGTTCTTAATCAGCTACATGAGACGGTGTTCCGTCGTGTCAAAAGTAGGAATTAATCGGAGTCGCAACAATGTATGGCCTATGAGCGTTGCATTCACGGGTTTCATGGCGGCTCGTGGTTCGCTTAGCGACTTGAACCGATTGGATGCATAGTCCGTAGACATTGAGCAATTAGCCATTTTTGGAGGTTTGTCTGGATAACTACACAATATGTTTCCAATGTGGGCAACTTCCACTTTGTAGCATAATCATAAGTCAGTTTTCCAGAAATGCATCGTCGAAGGTGCAGAGCTTTTAGTTTGTGACAAATTTAGATGGATTGCGTCAACCAAAAAGCCTGAGAACGAATCCTCCTAGAGAACATGCAGGACAACTTCGCTGTTCGGGCACAATGTAACAGTACACATGCCGGTGATTTAGATTATTAATGATACCTCACAACCATCCGAGCCGGCGAGCAGCAATACTCCATCCCCCAAGCACTGATGTGACCCCAGTGAAAACGATGAGTGCACCATAGTTGCTTCCGTATGCCATCCCTGCCTTCCAAGGTCCATACCTCAAAAGGATTTCGCTGAGAGGACCACTGGCCAAGTTACCGACACCCTTACCAGCTGATAGACATGCAAATATCATGCCCGAATCTGCTGTCTCCTTCTTTTCCTTGGTCTCACGCATAATTGCGCTCCAGCTGCTCGAATAACAGCCTGCAAATGCACCATATACGGCACAGAAGCAATACAACGTAGCGAGAGACGTAGACAATCCCCATAACACAAACACTCCAATCGCTGAGCCCACAGCAGAGACAAACAGACATTTCGTGACATCGAATTTGTCGACGGCAGTTCCCATGCAAAGGGAGCCAACAAAAGCAGCCCCGTTCAATAGAATAACAGTAACAATGCTCTGCAGAGTCGAAGCCCCTAGCGAACGTGCGAATGTAGGCAGATAGATAGTGGGGAGAAAATAGCCAAGGCTCTGCACTACGTTGCCTGATTGCAGGATGAGGAAATTGGAGCATTTCCAAAAAGAGAGATCGAATCGACGAGACTCGACAGTCTGAGAAAGAGGCAATCGCGGTTTGAAGAAGATGAGGACCGGGAAGTTCAAGGCCACGAAGGATAGGGCGCATACCCTCAGAGTAGTTTGGTAGCCGTAGTTGTGCAGCAGCCATTCGAGTATAAGTGGCAATATAGCTCCGGAAAGACCCAGACCAGCCATTGTTGCTCCGTAGGCGAATCCACGGCGGCGCACCCACCATTGCTCTAAGAAGAACAGGATCGGTGTCCAAGCGAATCCGCCACCAATTGCGTAGATAACGCCCTGAGTAAGAATCAAATGGGACACTTTCGTAGAAAATGATCCAAGGCCTAGTGCAAGACCCATGATGACGAGTCCGATGGGAGCTGCCCACAGGCGCAAGCGCTGATAGTACCTCAACAGTGGGAACATGAGCGTTATGTCCATATACATGATCCCCTGCGTAGAAATAAGCTATGCTATCATTACTCTATGAACTTGAAAAGGTTCTCACCATTGCTGCAGCTCCTACTACTGCTATATTTTGAGATCCTTCGAAAGGTTCATGGGTACTGTAATAGTCCTGGAATACACCATATGAGGCAGGGAAACCTGCGTGAATGTTAACCATGCATCCCAATACTTGGACCAATTTATTACCCCATATCAGAGCTTCGAGCATGAAGCACGAGAACAAGAACAACCATGCATCCTTTCCTGAGTCTGCTGGAGGTAAGGCGAAAGTCTGGTTCGTTTCATTCAAGTCTGCTATCTCTGGAGCGACTTGTGCAGATCCCGAGTCAAGACCTCGTGAAGTCAAGGGTGTTCCAAGCTCGATATTCTCAGTTGACATGATGAAATGTATCTAGGTTACTTTCCTCTTGTTCATCTTGGAAATATAGGATCTTATCGACTATATAGCAAAGTCGTCGAAGATGACAAAGATTGTCCACCTAACTAGCTCAAAGCTAGCGAGTGATCAAATGTAGGGCGTGTGGGTAGCAGCGGAAAACCCTATACACGTCTAACCTGGCCTCCATCGGAATTTTCCGCCCACTAGTAACTCCATTGAAGTAAGAAATGGTTGGATGAAGTCATTGTTGGCCTTTGAGCAGATCACAATGTTAACCTATGGAGGTTAGCGGAGGCCTCAGGCGGGGCGGAGTGGAATCCTTGGCAGCGCTCAGACGCGTCTGAATGAACAGACGCGCCTAAAGATGGTAAGTTGGATCCTTTCACATTGAGATATCTTGACGTACGGATTCGGCTGCAAATAGCGTCAATGGCCAAAGACGTGTGAACTTATTCATTACTGTCACGATCTTGACGCTGTATCTTCATCGCTATGGACGAGCTCCCACGCTCATCGAAAAGGAGGAAACTCGATGCACCGCGCGGTGATACAACAAGCCCACTCGTCAAAAGCACACTTCGTAAAACGTCTACGCGCTTGACAAATCGCAACACCGCGGAAAATGGTACAGAGGTTCCTGAGCCCGAGATAAATACAAGCACACCGACCAGAAAAGTCCAGCGGACAGGAAGGGTTTCGAACGCTTCAAGAAATGATGCGAACACTACACGGTCTGCAAAGACACCACGAAATGACGGCGATGTCTATGACGATATAGAAGGGGCGCTGCCTTCACATACCGAGTCTCGAGAATCGACACCCGCGACGAAACCAAGAGCAAGCGCACGCAGGAAAGGCTCACAGCCGTCGGCGGTTCGAGAAACTCCTGCTCGTTCTTCACGGAAGAAGGCAGATCCTAAGACTACCAACGAGCAAGATCTGTTGGCTGTGGACGGAAATATTCACGAAGTAGAGGTGGAGGCAGATATTCAGGATGAACTAGCAGAAGACATCCCACCATCTCCAAAGCGGACACGGAAACCCCGTGCGACTAAGGCTTCTGAGGTTGACGACAGCGAAGTTCAGAAAAAGACCCCAGGGAGGGCAACTGGGCGTACAACGAGAAAAAAACAAGGCACGAAGGAAGGTGGACTAGATGAGGAAGAACTTGGAAACAATGACAAGACGAGGGCGATGCCTTCTAGGAGTCGAGCCACCACAAAGGTCGCGGCAGGACGAAGATCACAGCGGCCATCGGCTACTACAGAGGACGATGAACATACTCCCACAATACCCGAATCGGAGAGTAATATGGATGAGCAGGACCCACCACACAAGTCAACTACACCTAAAGAGAGACGTCGCGCCAACCGTGCAGATCACATCAACAACCAAGACGATGCTACTAACACGGACGAGAATCTCCTTGAGGACGAGATGGATGTAGACGGTGCTAGTGTTGTAGGCAGCGTTCTCGATCCAACCGAACCGAGTCCGTTCAACAGGCCCAGTCCAGCAACCAAGCCCATACCACAGTCGAAGGATATATCCGCTTTATTACACCTAGACCATTTTTCTAGCCGCGAGATGTCCCTTCTGAAGTCAATTTGTTTGGAACGTATAACAGGAAAGCGGTCGGCCCCCTTGATTGGGCTAGAAGAAGAGTATAAAACTGTCCACCAGCTCATCGAGCAGACGGTTGCGGCAGGAGAGGGCAACTCTATGCTTTTGATAGGTGCTCGCGGGAGTGGGAAGACGACATTGGTGAACAAGGTGCTTTCAGAAGTATCAAAGGACAATAGCCAAGACTACCACGTCGTTCGACTGAACGGATTCATTCACACAGACGATAAGATAGCCCTTCGTGAGATTTGGCGACAACTTGGAAAAGAGATGGACATTGAGGAGGATGGAGGATTGGGCAAGAACTATGCCGATACCCTCACTACGCTCCTGGCGCTGCTCTCGCATCCTTCGGAGCAGACTGGTGAGTTCACAGATCAGGTGGCAAAAGCTGTTATTTTCGTCATGGACGAATTTGATCTTTTCGCTTCGCACCCTCGCCAGACACTGTTGTACAATTTGTTCGATATTGCACAGTCCAGGAAGGCACCTATCGCTGTCCTCGGGCTCACCACTCGAATCGATGTCGCAAACAGTCTGGAGAAGCGTGTAAAGAGTCGGTTCAGTCATCGATACGTTCACTTGTCTCTTGCAAAGAGCTTCACGGCCTTCTCGGAAATATGCAAAGCATCGCTTCTCGTCCAGCCTGACCAGCTCACCATTGAGGAGCGTGCCATTTTAAGTTCAACTCCATCCAAGTCTGCCCGAAAGCCCACCAAGCAAGCTGCGAAATCAAACATCCTCACAGAGTGGAACACAAGCATATCCGTAAGTCCAACCCTCCCACCAGACCCATCCACAAAACCCCCAGAGCAGCACACTGAACAACACCCACAGACACTCTTCGCATCAAAATCTTTCCTAACCTCACACCTCGCACCCCACTACTACCGCACCAAATCCGTCCCATCAGTCCTAACCTCCTTCCTCCTACCAACCGCCACCCTCAGCGAGCAATCCTCAGCCCTCAACCCCACAACCGCCCTCCTCCCACCCGACTCCAAACTCGCCCTGATCCCGCACCTCCCTACCCTCGCCCTAGCCCTCATCATCGCCGCCGCGCGCCTAGACATCATCCACGACAGCGACACATGCAACTTCAACATGGCGTACGACGAATACGTGACGCTGGCATCCAAGGCGCGCATCCAGTCCGCGGCAGGCGGCGCCAGCGCCAGCGGCGTTGTGAGCAAAGTGTGGGGCAAAGAAGTCGCGCGCCGCGAATGGGAGGCCCTGATCGAGCTCGGCCTCGTCATGCCCGTCGTCAGCGGCATGACGGGCGGGTTCGGAATGGTGAAGTGCGACGTCGCGCTCGAGGAGATCGGCGCCGTGCTCCAGGGTGAGAAGGGCGTGGATAAGGCGCTCGAGAGGTGGTGTAGACAGATCTGATTCTTTCTCTCTTTCAAATCAGACGGGATTGATATGGGGTTGGGGGGTTGGGGACAGAGTCTTTTCCTTTTTTTTTTGTAGATTATCTTTCCCAGATGGTGGGGACGGTACCTGCCTTGTATTGTTATCATCAGTAACTCCATGTACATTGTAGAGCATAGCCAGCGTGCGAACGCATCGTCATAACCAGGGCACAAGCGCCAACGTATATATACACTTTTCAGCCTCAACATTCACATACACATGCGTGCAAATTGTAACACATATTTCTCTTTTACTCCCGAGTCCCTTAGCAAGTGAACACCCAAGGAGGTGTAATATCACGTGCTTACCTATCAAGCGTGTGTATCAATATATCAAAATGTATATGCGTCTGCCGAATATATATATCACGGCGACATGTATAGGACTGTCCAGGGTAGGGGTCGAAGCAGTGTTAAAGGCGGCGATTCGACCATCTCGCCAGCATTCCCCAACAGGCACTGGGCTATATTAGGTCGGCAGCTATTTTGTTTGATCAATAATGAGATCACATCGATCTTTATGTTTCAAAGGCAAGATCAGGGGAAATTTCAAGTTCAGGAGTGTTATTGTTTTTCTCATTTATAACAAACTACACCACCTATGATTGAACACCTCAGTCTGTTCAAGATATACAAGTTTTTCCCATGCGCTATGCCAAAAGTCCCGTCGAATTAAAAAATAAGAGAAAAGCAACCAGTAGGATCGGTGAAAGTAGTTCCATCCGTTCATTTAGGGGGGTGAGAACTTGAAGGTGGAGATAGGGAGAGGAAACGCTAAAGTGGGGATATAGGGAGAGGGAGAGTGGAACGCCGACCAGACCCTGAACCATGTGAGTGGGATCAATTTTATGTTACTTGTTGAAAACGTCTCTTCTGCCGAACGAATAATCGAATCCGCAAGGATGGGCTTGGGAAGGGATTATTTACGCCGCGTGAACATGGTGTTCGTTGGCAGGACCAGGCTGTTTCTCCTCGGCGACGCTTGGCCTCGCGGGATTGATACTCCGTCGGACGCGCATGTCTGCCTTCGTCTTGGTCATCAACGCCTCGCGGATGGCGGCCTTGCTCCTCTCGCTCCAGAAGTTGTAGCCGCTGGGGTCGAGCGGGTAGAGGGGCATGTTGTCGTTGCGCTTCATGAACTCGCGGGGCACGGGAGCCGGCTGGGACATGAGGATGTCGAGGTCCATTTCCAGTTCCTCGCAGAAGGCCTCGAGGGGCAGGTCGTTGACGTCGTTGCCGAAGGGGTTCTCGATTTCGCGTCCGATGGCGGCAATGCCGAGGATGATGTAGGCGGCGAAGATGCTGCCGGGGATGGTGACCCAGCGAAGTTGCGCCCACAGCTGGAAGGGAAGCATCATGACGTAGACCCAGGTGATTTGAGAGATGGCGATGGAGTAAGCGATGGGGAGGGGAGTGTGGAGAACACGCTCAACACCGACGAGGATCTCATTGAGCAATACCGTGGATGTGACTGTGTAAATGACGTTAGATTGGCCCATGCTGATATTGGGATTTCACATTACTCACCAGCTTGATTCTGGTATGCGGGGACCTTGAGGGTTTCGTTGTCGATCAGGCTGTGGATGTAGGCGGAGATATGAGTGAGAATCTCAAGAGGCAAGTTTCCGAGAGGCTTCTTAGAACGCTTGACCCGCTTCCTGGGGTTGGACTCGGCGAAGGTTACACCAAGGTACTCGCCGACAGCCTTCATCTTGCCATATTCCTTCTGCTTGGGAATATGGGCTTCGGCAGCCTTGGCGAAGGTGTCCAAGTAGTCAATGCGTTCACGGAGGCGGTCATAGTCGATACCGGGCTCGAATCGAATCTTGTGCATGAGGGACCGGGAGAAAGCGACAATGAGGTTGAGAGCGCTCCTGTTTTCCATGTTAGATTAAGTAACTTTGGTCGGCGTTTCGGGCGTAGGCGTACACTTTAGCAAGCAAGTCATCTTTAGCAAACTCGCCTTCACGTTCTGGTGCATGCACCCAGATGGTCCTTGCCAAATTCTGGCTGACGAGAACCAACTGTGCCCAATACTTTCGACCCTCAGTGTAACGTTCGTATGCGGAGGACGTTCGGAAGGAGATGGCCATACCGACGACGAAACCGAGAACAGTGAGCAACAAGCTGTTTACCTTGAGAGGGTAAACGAATTCGCAAATGCAAGTGATGAGTGAAGACCAGAGAGAAACGACACATAACGGGAGAATCATTTTAGGAAGCACTGAGCCGTGCATTCGAAGGAAGAAGGGCCATTTGGAGTGCTTAGACATGTCACGAGGACCAACCTGTATAATGGTGAGTTTATCGTCATTCATCTGCTCTCGGAAAGGGTTTCAGTTACAAAGTAGTCGTCGATATCTGTGCCATTGGTATCTACCCGTGTAGGGACGGGTCGTACTGGAACACGCCATGAGACGGGGGACTTGAGAGAAGGTTCATTCGCTCCATTGGTATCGTTACCGGCAGGGATCTCAAGCTCAGCAGGCCTGAGTGTTTTCCCACCCTCAGTAGACGTGGAGGCAGCCATGACTGTGAAATCACGCTCCCACGCGTCCAACAGTCGAATGAATCGATTGGAATGCAAGCAACTGCCCAGCAGTTCGCGGATGGATTAACAATGGGTTAACAATGGGGATAAAAGTGGGTCGATGGGTGAGTTGATGGAGAGGGAGGACGGAGGGAGGATGCGATTACAAGTGATATAAAGAGAGGTCGAGAGTGGCAAAGTGAAAGGAAGGGCGCGCACAAAGGCTAATCGACAAGGAAAACAGTTACAGACAAAAGCTAGGAGGCGAGAAAAAAAGGACGTGTTGGGGAAGATATAGCGGGCGAAGATTTTCAAATGCCATAACTGCAGCTGAGGTGTCTGATCCACACCACCCGTGCCCCCCGTGTTGAGCATCAAACACCGTGCGTGGTCGGGGGCCAGTCCCAGTCCCAGTCCCAGTCCAGTCTCCCCCAACGGTGAGCACAAGGGCCCCTGGCGTCCAGCTACCTGCGCTGTCTTTGGGTGCCCCTGAGAGCAGCGACGCAGGAGGGCCAATGGCGGCACCTGAAGGACGAATGGGGAGATCCGCCGTGGCCTGAAGCAGCAAGGGCTTGACGCGGAGAGGCGTTTCATCAAACAACGAAGCTTGCTGGCCAAGCCCGAGTAGCGACGCAACGATGCAGCGATGCAGCGCGATGAAAAAGCTAATCAAGAGCGCGCGCAGTCATCGAGTGCTGAGTTATCAGCCTTGCAGCACTTTGCCTAAAAATGGCGCACTCAGCCCCCAAATTGACAGGTCGCTAGACTCTGTAGGGAGTTGTGACAGTGCCCATTGTCCATAAAGGTGCTGGCTTCTGCTGCGAGTCTGCATCGATTTTTGCTGCAAGTTTGCTCATCAGGATAGCATCACTTTGAGGCGTACACATGACAAGGTGGGGTCCACGAGTTGATGTGTGCACTGTGTAATTGTACAACATGGAGAGGACGCAAGAGGGAGGAAGAATCAGAGAAGGTCTAGATGTCTGAACGACTGAGCATAGGCCCGAATGGTGGTGGATGCTTTTCGAGAAGAGTGGATATGCCCGAGCAAAATTGTGGAATTTGAGATGGAATTTCACAGAAGGAGAAGGGATTGACTGTCTACGGTAGTCGACGGTGACGGTAGTGTACCCAAAGATGGGATGAGATGAGATGAGATTGTTGGTTGGGTGTCTGAGTGTCGGTGACGGTGTCAGTTCAGTTCAAGTCAGTTCAGTGTCGGTTTGTCGTTGGAATAACGAACGAGGCGAGCCGACGCGCAAGGTGGGACGGGATCCCCCCATAATTTCCTTCCAGGGGGTTTTCTTCTTGGCCAATCACGGAGGATGTTCATCCCCGCGGTCATTCACCGGCCAATTATCCAGAACTAACTGTAAAAGGATGACGCCCCATGTAACACTCCCTTTGACTCCCGCAATTCACCACCATTGACCACGTTGTAATTAAAGTAATTACTCCAATCAGTTAGTCACCCTACCTACATCTTTGTTCCGTCGTACAGCGTATAAACCTCTTCTTAAGTATTGATTGCTACATCATTATATATAGTTACTCTGTAGACTCCGTGTTCCTCCATGACTCCATGCATGATGACATTCACATCATTACAAACAACCATACAACCCTCGAGTATTAGCATGCATCTCTGGCGCCGCAGATGACTCCCACGAACACATGCGTTCACACAATATGCACGTTTCCTCATCATCTTACTTACACCAGCAAACACTCAATAATCATTCAACGATCGGTGTACACATACTCAATTGGAGTCAAACTCATGGCTCATGCTCACTGTGAATAGCCCTGGATACTTCCATGCCATTGGCATTTACCATCCCACTCTTGCGGCTATCCTGCGTCTCTCGGCTTGCCCTCTCTCCAACTCCAGCCTCAGCTCCCGTACCCGATACGTCTCCCCGTCAACACACACTCTCACAGTAGTGATCCTTTGCAACAGCATCTGGTAGAAGCTCCCCTTGTACTCATCCCCGGACCAAATCTTATTCCACACGTCCACCAGCTCCTTGGCCACCGTCTTTGGATGCACCAACCCGTCCTTGACGCCGTCGAGTGGGAAATCCTCATCTAGGTATTTCTCCTTGGGCACATTCGGCGGCGTCACCACGTTCAGCACCAACTCCCCCAAGGCGATTGTGCAGCCACGCTCCCTCACATTGGAAAAGTCCGGCCCCTTCTCGAAGATGCGTTTGAGCGCCGCACAGATGGCCCACGACGTGCGGTCCGCGGGCGTCGTGTTCCTGAACCACTTCCCGGACCTGTCTCCGTAGATGCGGATGTCGATGTGCAGCTGCGGGATCGTGGTCGATGATGCTCGACAGCTGTGGCATAGGTTGCTCAGCACGCGGTGAGGACAATGTAGATATCGCTCCATGATCCTATCCGCCCACTCCAGGCCGATGCTCGTCTTGCCTTCTGGCTCCCCGACCGTCGTTTGCACCAGCGGGACCTTGAGCCACGTGAAGTAGTGCGAGCTCTCGTCCTCTGCTATGCAGTCCAATCGCGCGGCTAATTGCTGTTTCCTGCGTGCCATCTCGATTGCCTCGTTCATTTCTGCTTGGACCTGTCGGTTGCAGCAGAGGAAGCTGGCACAGGTCGGTGGTACGTCTTCCAGCGCGTAGGCACATCCGTACTCGCCGTTGATATGGCTGGACGGCTCGAAGATCCTGCGGAACTTGAATAGCCATTGTGCTTCCCCGAGGGTGGGTCGCGGTCTTTCGGCCGTCAATATGGCCATGTAAATGAGATCGCGGAGTTCTCTTGGTAAATCCCAGAATTGCGCCATTATGTTGGTTGGTTATGATGATAGGGATGATGATGAATCTTCTTCTATGCTGTATACGCGTATTGTACTCCGTATGCACACACAAGATACGTAGAGTACGTATGTATGTAGACGATACTCGTGGGTCTACTCTCTTTAGGATGTATCCGGGTAGAGCAAGTGGGGCGGCCCCTTATCTGGGGAGGACCACAACTCCCACGTTCCAGGCGTGTTATTAATTGCTACCACACGAGAGAACGGAGTAAGTACGACGCCAACTTGTAGAACTGCGTGATCACACTTCCCAAAGAGAAGCTTTGATGGGAATGTCGTTCAACCCTCAAGCAATCCAAATTTGACCAGACGTAATATCTTTCTCTTTGATTTGAGAAAGTAAGAGAGCTGGTAAGATAAGATAGGTAGATGGATCGCGGATTCGGTAACCGAGGTCAGTCAGCGCAACGCTCAGTCAACCGACCGCTCGTGCAACACAACTGTACATGCACGACGGACAGCCTCAAAATCGCAGTGCGAGCTTTGGTTGGCGAGGGATATCTTCTCCCCTGAATGTTTCTCAGATATACACTTCCGAAGGGAAACGAACCAGGATGGAAGGAGGCGCGTTGCGTTATCCGATGCAGGGAGAATTGGCGCGCTCCGTGCAATGCTTCAGAGTATGCAGGTACGATACCGGTTGATCCTCGCCAGCTCGAGACACGCAAGACACATAAAATGGAAAGGGGGGCAATGGGAAAGATGCAAGTGTATGTAGGTGTAGACAGGCAATCTGTTAAAGCACGTTTCAGCGATGCATGCTTTTGCCAATTCGAAAAATGCGTATGAGGTTGGGTTTCGACCTTACCTTTAATACACCTCCTACATGCTTGGATATAGACAGATAGCCAGACACACCGCCCCGATTCGGTTCCTCGGCTCCTCTGAAAGACAAAAGCGGCACGGAAGATCACACGACAAACGTGTAAGTATTCGATTCACGATAAATGGCACAACGACGACAATAATACTGCTGAGGATGGAGTTGATGTAAGAAACGGAAAGATGCGGCCGCTGGCCAGTTTATTAAGGCATGACAAAGGGTCGATCTGACAAGTACAAGTAGTTGCAGGTTAGTGAAATACGTTTCTCAAGTCTGATGACCCGACATTACGAGTGAGTACAAAGGTAAGTCAACCATACTCGTACCGTACTGGGAAGTCACTAAACCCGAGCTCCTCCGATCTCGGTTCGGGACCAATGCCAACACCAAGCATCACTTTTTAAGGCGGTGAATAGACAATTGCTCGATGCGGTGTCGAGGAAATCTCTACTGATTTGGTAATATCTATGTATGACTTACTTCCTTGCATATGTCATTTTAATTTTCACTTTTGATCTACGTTTTTTTTGCTTTTCCCTAGATACGCGAGAGGGCAGATCATGCATGGCTTACCCCAAGTAGTTGTAAGTTCCGGTAGAGTCCCGAGGGCCAAACCACATGCCACGATATCGCAGCGCCACCAGCACTCCAGATCTTCCTTGCTCAAGACGATTATGGGCTCCAATTGATGCATCGTACTCTCCTTTAAACTTTCGATGTCTGTCTATCAAGTCTACTGGTTGGTAAATACGACAAGTGGGGATTCTTTATCCAATTGAGTCCACCATTGTCTTACCACCAGAGAACTACCCATCGGTTGAATGATCCAAAACCGATCTGAGAGGATTGATTGGTACATAACAAATAGAACATATGCATCCAAGGTGGTGTCTCAAAATCAAAGGATGGACTTCTAAGCATTTATATGACAAGGCAAGCGCTCATGGAGAATTGAGGCAGTGGGATTGAATAAATTGCCCATGACCAGTGCTGTGTGACCGTATCGTACATAGAGGCCGAATTCCATTGGAACTAATCGCACACATTGCGGCAGGAGCATTGAATCACGTGGATCTGTTGTCGTTACGGGTGGTCAGCGTAGTCAGGTAGTCCTGTGGGAGTAAAGCAGTGATCGGTTCCAATTCAAATTCAAGAAACTTGCCGTACCAGATAATATTAGAACCTTCGTGAAGAAAGTGCCCAGAAAGAGATGGTTGCAGGTAATTTGTTATTGGCGTACATGATTGCTGAATGTATGCAACAATTGAGAGACTAAAGCCAAATGTATATTTACAAGAAGGAATTATATTCCCCAAACCAAGAGTATTACAATTTTGTCCCATCGCCCTTTCATTTAGGCCGTACGTAACACCCGTGCGTGAGGTCTTACGGCCTGAACGCCGTGTTGCTAAGATATGAGAGAGTATGGATGTTGTTTCGATGCATGTCGAATGCTGTCCTTACCAGGATCTAAGATCGTATAATGCAAGTTAGACGTTCTTGTCGCGATCGCTGGTGCGCTCGCTGGCGCCCTTGATGAAGCCAGAGAGATCGCCAACTTTACAAGATTAGTACCTACTCACGACAATGGGATCTAGGACGTGTACTAACCAGGAATCTCGAAAGGAAAGTCCAAGCTCGCAAGCATGATAGCGATGAAGATCCACCACCCGAACATGCACGTGCAGAAGGCGAATGCACCTCCCGCCGTCTGTAGACGCGCCGAAGCCGCGAGGTTGCCATTGTTGGCTTCGAGATAGGATCCGGCGAGGCAGCTGAATGCAAGTACAAGGGTGAGGAAGATCATGAAGAAGACGATGTTGGTTCGGAGCGAGCAGATCAGGAAGATGAAGCACATAATGGCCATGGCGATGAAGAAGAAGGCTTGTCTTGGTCAGCTAAATTGGTCACTCTAATGTTGAAGGCGATCGATCAACGTACCGAAACTTGAGCGAAATCCAACCGTCGAAAGGCCATCAGCAGCATTTTCTGTGGGTGAGTATGCACCGTAAGCGTTGTAGAAGGGCTGCAGTGTGGCTCCAAATCCTAACCAGAAGGCACCGAACGAACCAAATACAACGAATGGAAATGTGTTTCCGAGGAGGAACTGTACTTCGTTAATATGGAAATGATTACATGGTATACTCATGAAAATTTACCTCGCCAAGTGAGCCTAAGATCATCAAAAGTCCACCGAAGAAGAAGTAAGTCCCCGTTCCAGCAGCACCGCTGCCGCCAGCTCCTCGCCAGCCCATAAGGTCCATGCTCAAGGGTGTCAATGAAATCAAGAAGCCGATAAGTGCACTGTACTAAATTAGCAAAAAGCACTTCATAACAAGCTTACGGAAGGCAGTGAAGCTTACAGTGGTGTAGGGTTGCCAACTGTCCTTCGAAGATCGCCATGGACTCGATTTTGAGGCGAGAGGTAGAGCTTCTCGAAGAGTTCAGGGGAGATGGAGATACTTCCAGCCGTTCTCATTTTCCGCAAAGCAGTCTCGGAATCATGGTTGGAGTCAAGGTGTTCGTGACCAGCAAAATAGGGATTGCCTACATTGAGAGGTCATCAGTGACGATTAATGTCAACTTCTTAATAGTAGACTTACCATTATGGCCGAGGCTGTTTGGGCTGGTGTATCCATTACGGCTGAAGTCCTTCTCGAGCGGTGCATCACCAGGCGTAGTGGCCGCAGGGACAGTCGGAATAGTATTGTCGTTGTTCGGCGTCCTCTCACGGAGGTCTTGTTGTTGATGTGCCATGGTGACCGTGAACAATCACAACCTGATGTTAATTTTATACAGAATATCTGTCGACAAGCAAAGAAGATAGCTCTTATGAGATGAATGATCTCACGAAGGTACGAGAAAGGAGCAGACAGTTGAAAGGGGGCCTGGGCACAGGAGAATATATCAGGACTGGGGACGGCCAGGGTATTCAAATAATGAGATTGTACAGCTGGACGGGTCCGCACGAGCATCGAAGCATTGGCTAGGGTTGGCAGTGCAAACTATCCTGGCAGGATCGGCGTTGCTGTATCGTTCACCAGGGTGAGATGCAGATACAAAAGAGGAGTAAAAGCTTAGCGCCTGGGGATATGCAATGAACAGCAAAGGACACTTCCAATCCGGACGAAAGAAGCCTACAGTAAGACTATTCTCTTTCCCTTGGGCCATATCCCTTTGTTTTGAGCTAGCAACGAGACCGAGAGTGTGGACAGTCGGACAATTCATTGGCCGGCCGAGCGGTATACATTCACCAGTCTGCCTGTTAAGGTTAAGCGTAATAAAGCCATCACTGGACTGCTTCCTGATCTGAGAAAACTTTTGAGCAACGGCTTGTCAGTAAGCAATCCACACTCGCACTTTTTGAGGCTGGAAATGGTGAGAAGGGAATTGGAAACTCCCGCGAGAGAGGGAGGAAGCTAGCCGCACAATAACGAGAGGACATAATTGATTGGTCTTGCTGGTGGTGCTACGAGTACTCGCGGGCACGCGGATGTCTCAAACGGTGGCTTGCGTGGTGAAGTAAGTAGACGTACTTTTGGCCGAGAACTTTCACTGCAAGATCAGTCGAAGGGAGATGATTTGACAGATGCATACTAGAGCCGGATTTGCGGATGTTAGTGGAGTTGAAGTCTGCGGGGAGGGCATTGATGCCGCGTGGAGGCCAGAACGTCCCAGGTTCAGAATTGGGGGGAGACTGATTGAGAGAGTAGTGGAGTCCGAATCTGTTTAGACGTGGATCAGTTTGCGGGGAAGCGAGGGAATAGTGTCTTGAGCAGGCTGGCATCAGGGTGTCAAGCTTTTATTCCCATGATTGATCCAGGCAAGATCCTCGTATGAAGCCATCATCAATCGAATAGTTCTTCCTCGATTGAATGATACCGGACTTGGGTGAGTGCAATTGTCTTCTCGGTCGCTCTCAATGGTAACAGTCGGGCTTGAGGAGGCTCTTCACAACGTGGCTCACCATGCTAAATTGGCGGCAAGGAGGACATGGCTGGGCCCGGACAAAGGGTGGTAGTAGCGTCTGGTGGTGTGAGGAGGATGGATTGCACCTGAGAGTGGACGGATGGCCTGAGTCAAGAAGTTGCGGTCATCCGAGAGGCTGCCACGCTGCATCGGATGAGGAGAGGGAAGAGGGGAGGTAGCGAGCATGCCGGATCCGCGCTAAAGATGACATCCATTCACAGGCCTAGCCCGTTTGGGAAACCATGCATTACATCCAGCTCCCCTCGCCGTGAGATTTATCAACGCGATGATTTTTGCGGGAAGAAACCTCGGTGATTGACGATGATCCTGAACGGAATCGTACCTGGTCGAACACACACGATTTGGCTCAGCTTTCGTCATTCTTATTGTCCAAAAAAACCACATACCTCTTCAATAGTTCATGGCTCGGTGTCTTTTCCATTTATTCCTCCGAGGAAGGCTTCGTCTTAGAATAAGGGCGTGTAGATCGATGCATGATTTGAGTCGTCATCTTGAGATCCAGGGCCATCTGAGTCCAAGTGGATCTTCGTTTCTCCTTTGCCCATCCGTCACTGACTTCTCATTTCCCCTTAGAACGGAGCTGTCTAGTTAGAGCCGCCTGCCCTGGCAAGAAATCCCATCGATAGGGCACCGCATGAACGGAAATCACTGTGGCTTGAAGGGACGCCTTTCCCCAAAGCTCGGATACATACCACAACTAAGGAGTTGTTGCAGCTCAAGCTAGGGCTCGGTGGGTACTCTGAAAATCTGTTGTACGAACACGGACAGTGAACTCATTATATGTCCTACTAGTCGTTCAGTAATCGGAGTACGTGTTTACGTGAGCCCTGTCGTCAACTCGGTCTTGAACATTTCTGCTTGGAATGGAATAAGCACCATCACTTCTCCTTTCAATCACTCTCTCAAGATGGAAAATTGGCTCATCAGTACATGTCTCGTTCAATTAACTCCTTCTATCTTGCTTCATTATGGAGCTATCAGTGCTCCCATCCCTCCAGAAACTGCACCACCCATTCCGTCAATCACTGTGCGTTTCTGCCAGCCCATCTGTTTTAGTAAACTGTGCATCAAGGTAGTTAAGATCGTGTGGCAGCACGATCTGTAGTGAGACTTACTCTGCAGCGACGACACTCTGCTCGAAAAGCAGCGACACTACCAAGTCGTTAGCATGATGTTCCCTCCCAGGAGATGATGATGCCGTTACTTACGCGTCTTTCCCTTGAGCAAAACGTCATTGAGGTCCTCCACAACCGCCCCATAGTATTCGGCCTCTTTGGCGCTCATGAGGTAGACGGCCTTCGCGCGGATTCTCGCGAAGTGCGCTTGGAACTTCAGGTAATTGCTCGTGAGGCGATTCACGTAAATCTGCTCGAAGGTCTGTCCCCGTAGTGGGGACGAATTTAACCGCATCTCGTAGGTCGGCTCCTGCTCGTCGATTGCCGCCTTGAAGGGGTCGTGGAAGCTGTACAGGAAGAGGATATGGGTCTTCATTTCGTCCCAGAACTCGAAAAGCTTGAGGATCTCGGTGAGGCAGGCGTCCGCCTGCGAGATGTGGTCGCTGTGGTGACCGGGCAGATGGCAGATACGACAGAGAGAACCATGATGGGGTCGAGCGAGGGCATTTGTGATGGATGTATTACCTTGTGAAGAGTCTGCGCCTACGGCGGTCATGGCACGAACCGCCCCGGCGAGAACCTCGAGAGACTGGAGGACAACTGGCTCTACGGTTGCCGACATGACTGATGATAACGTTTGATTCTGCGGATATAGTTGGGATAGAGAAGGTTGAATGGTTGTGTGGTTGAGTTGGCTAAGTTGGGCTGAGCTGGTTGAGCTGGTTGAGCTGGTTGTTGGTGGGTGATTAGAGGGGAGAAGTGAGTCTGCAAACATGAGAGGTGGCAGAGGCGAGGCGAAGGTGAAGGTGCAGGCAAACCAGAACCACAAGGGAACAAGTGAGAGAGGGAGTGTTCAAGTTTGTTCGAAAGTGTGCCACTGGATGCACGCATCTGATCATTCAAGCCATCAAAGTCACTGGTAGAATTGGCATACACGCAAACTGAATCATCGTCCTATTCCAGGTTATCGGCCTAACACACTGTGATAACGCACATGCGCGGAGGCTCCGAAACACTATGTAGAATGTATGAGATTTTGAAAGTTCATTAGAATTTTCCCTTGTTGTCCTCCCTAAGCCATAGAGTAAACCAGTGCTGGGAGACCTGAACACCGTGCTGTTGCCATGATACACGAACCATCCGGAAAGTCCTCTTTGCTGAATATCATCATATAGGAATCTCTCTTATATCTGCCCTGGAACCATAGGTGGGCCATGACGTTGATCGAGGTGATCGTAGTTGAGATCGAACTCCCTCTGTTGCATTCGTTAGTCAACCAAGTCAAGACATGTCAAAGGCAGGTACATACCCTCTCCCGCCGCCAATTTGTCACATCGAAGAAGAGATACCAGCCGCGCTCCTCTTTCTGCGAAAGTCGCATCGGCTGCGGTAGGTCGGGATCCTTCATCATCCACTGCTGTAGCTTCATATGCCACCTCCAATCACGGTTGTATCTGCAATTCGTTAGCAAACTTCCGTCAACGGTCTCTCTTGAAAACTTGGACATACAGTTCGTTTGCGGCCATCTCCTGCAAAATGTCTCGTGGGTATTGATAGAAGATGGCTAGGAGGGTCTCCGCAGAGAAGCTAGCCATTTTGGTATGCAGCGGTGGAACGTTGGTGACGGTGTAGGCAGCTGGTAATGTGAAGTCGGGAGGAATCACTGGTTTCACGTTGGACTCCACAAATGGGGACCCAAACGTTGGGTGGAGAGGAGAGTTGCTGAAAGATTAGCTGAATGGCCAAGTGATATGGGAGAGGTTGCTTACTCAGGGCGGCTCAAGTCGAGGCCAAGAACAGTCAGGTCCTGACCAACAGCGAGGGAAGAGTAATCGGGGCTCTCCAAGGGAATCATTGAAAGAAGACCCGGGAGGCCATATCGTTCTGAGTCGGTCATCTCTGCTAATTTCTTGTGCTGAGGATGTTGTGCGTTTGGGGAGTCGGCATTATCCGCACTGTAGCTCTGCTCAAACTGATTGTTTTGAGCACGGCCGATCGGCGGAACTTGAGAACCGAGAAACGACAAGTTGCCAAGTGACTGTTCAGTCCTGGTATTAGCCTACATTTTCCTTCAGTGCATCGGTCTTTGTGGATTGGGATAGGACGTACACTGCGTTCAGCATCTTGTAGCCCACTGGGCGTTCCTCGCATACCCTCAAAAGGTGTCCTCGACGCTAGTCCAGTCAGTAAGTGCGTTATGGTCAACATAAACTCGTCTTACCTCCACCTGTTTGGAGTCCTCTGCCGCCGACAGCTGTGTTTATTTGGCGATCCTGAGCACTGTCCGTTGGGCTAGAGAGACCATTCCGTGTCTGTCCCAGTCCAGGGAAAGCGTTTCCGCCTGCGTTGCCTCCGTATGCTGCAGCGCTCTGTATCATGCCTGTTCGTCGGTCTGGTCCAACTTCACCAGCCCCACCTCCGAGTGGGGGAAACTCTTCTATATTGCCGGTCTGAGGCTGTCCACCTCCTGATAGCTGACCCACACCAGCTTGTCCGCCAAACCGATACTCGTCGCCGCCAGCGCTGGAGAACTGGCCTTGCGCAGAGCTGTTATCGTCGTGAGATTGGGTTGGTAACTGCTGGGCGTTGTTGTTGGATGTTTGGGCTCCCGGTGTCTGGACCTGCGGTCTCTGGATTGTAGAGTGCTGTTGTGTCGTTCGCAGATTGGGATTTGACCACATTTGCTGTGCGGAGGTATTCTGCTGAGCTTGGGGGGCACCGGACAATGAGGGGAACTCTCTGTTAATACATGCTTAGTTATGCGGTCCCAGAAGAGCCATGTTTCTCCGATGTCTTGCCGTCTTGGAACTAGATGACTTACTCAAGATTGAGTGGCGTATGTGGTTGCGAGTTTCCGATTGTTTGCGCGAAGCTTGATAGGCCAGCGCCGTTTGTTCGTGATTGTGCGCTCGACAGACCAGGCGCTCCACCCATTGGGCCCCCAAAAGACCATTGTGAACCGCTCCCTGTTGCACATGCCTTGTCAGCTAGTCTCCTCTTCCACGAGTCCATCAGACGTCCTCACCAAGTTTCCCATTCTGCTGTAATCTGTTCGAACCGAGCGGCGCACCGCGAGTGTTCTGCTGATTTTGGAACATGTTGTTCGGAACCGATCGAAGAGGCTGCGCTCCGGGGCCTATGAAGAGATCGAGTTAGCTACTATATTGCGCGAGAGGGAAATCATAAAAAGCAAAAGCGCAGTGACCACAAAGTCCGTCGGCGGCGACGTGGGTGTTGTTGGGGAATTTCCGAGAGATCGGCGAGATCAATATTCCGTGCGTATTTCCTCTGTGTACTTCAAACGCGAAGGCTCAGGCTCGTGAACGCAAGTGTCGGGTTGACGAGGCGATTGTCGAGGGTCGTGATCGGAGGGTGAACAAAGGGCAGAGGTGTCGAGGAGAGACCAACCTTGCCGATTCATGGTGGAACTTTGGTACAGACCTGTTTCAATATGATTCTTATAAACCAATGATCTTTCTCTTATGAACTTGAAGGTGATAATGCGATATAGCGGTCGTTTGTCGTCTACCAACGATGCCAGAAGTTGCGGGAGGTGTTCGCGAATGGACGTGCGCGCCGCTAGCGTCAGCTTGCCCGCATTTCTTGGCTCTCGCGGGTCTAGATATATCCAAAATGGTATATGTATATGGTAAAGTCGCAATGACCATATCTCGAAAGAAGAATTGGCGATGTCAGTTGTCGAAAGCGATTAGTGACAAAGCACTGCAACCATCTGGTTCGTCAATCAACACCGCTATACACATGATAAGACGTTCCGGTCACTCTATCACCCGTCGCTGATTCTTGTGTATGGCCTTGACATTCTGGACAAGGTAGGAGTATCAGTTGTTTGGGTTTTGCATAAATGTGCTTGGAGCCGCTGTGTATCGGTAGCAACAGAGATGTTGGCATGCGTGTTCTATCAAGGTAGAGTCATTATGTCCCGATGAGCACAAACACGCGAATCGCGAAGTTGAAGTAAAGAATTCGAGAAGTCACAATTGATTCGTCTCTGTCACGGTTTACAGATCCTGCGGCAAGAATAGGACCGATAGTCTCAATATCCCAAGCACTCAAGTCCTCATAAGGCGTTACAAAGCGAGCTAGGGGTGTGACCTCGAGAGTATACTTGACACCCAATTAGGACATCCTAGAAGTGACCTCATCACGGAGTCAGTTCAGTTAACTGGTAGGAATGCTTAGTTGCGTTTAAAGCGTCCGTTGTGAACCCATTGAAAGACTGAGGATTAAAATGTACATATAAGCACGGCCGGTTCCATTCTGTTTCATAATTGTTGTCCACATCGAGTGCTACAGTAATACCTAATAACGAGAAGTGTAACTAGTCATGCTTTTGAGAGTGTTGCAGTGGTGGAAAGCGAATGCGACGCTTGTCTGTATTAGGATTAGGGTAGTTATGAGCAGAAATGACTCATTTTCGATCATACTGAGCGCATCTGCAAGTCCCCGTTTAGTCTCACACGCATGGAATCGCTTGGCGTTATCAGGGTCAATGGGCATCACCTCATGTTCAAGGTGATGGAGTGTGCTGCCCTCTCGAGTATTTGCACCCACATCGACTCATCGTGATGGATAATGATGTGGATGGAGGAAAGTAGATATAAACGCTTGTATGTAGATATTGTTAGGTAGACAGAAAGCAATGCGAATCTCGGTGAAGACCAGACTACTGAACGAGAGCGTAAGTTCAATCAATCTCATGCAAACAGGCCATCATGATGCACAAACTTTTGCCGATGTGATAAACTTTTCATTTATTGCGAAGGAACCACTGATCGAATACCGACATCGTCTGAATTGAAGGGTTATCTAATGAATACAGAGAAGAAAGAAAGAGACAGGAACACTGGCTGACCACCCGATAAACAGATAGGCTACTTGTTCGATCGAAGCAGCGCCCGAAGTGTCTCGACTTCGCCTTCGAGCCGAGCAACGCGGACTTTCAGGTCATCTCTCTCGGACTGGGTGTCTTTGAGAGCTGATTCCAAGGTGGACACTTGGTCGACTCGTTTCTGTCGATACCGACGAGCGGCAAGCGTGTTTTGCCTCCTTTTCTCGATGCGGGCGGTGGATTCATTAGGGTTAGAAACATGTTGAGATTTGGACAATTTTGGTGTTGACAATGACCCATCTGTCGAGGGGCTTTGGTTCTTTGGGCTTGATGGTGAGGAACCATAACTGGGTGACAGGTCTGTAGACGCTTAACCAATGTTCAAAGCAAGAAGAGATGCCGAAGCTGAGAGCTATATGGAAGCTTCTCAGCGCAGCTACAGGGTACTATACCTTTGTTGATTGTTTGAGACATGCTTGTGCCATAGATAGATTCAGGAGGAGAGGGATTGAAAGAGTGAGAGCCTGCGTCGGCTACTGATAGAGGAAGGGAATAGGGAGAAGGCATAGTCGATGCCAACTCTAATTGGATCCCATGATCCGCCGACAAATCATCCGTGGATGTGGCAGCAATAGTAGAAAACTCATTCCAGTGCGGAATATCGAGGAAGGAAGAAGCACAAGCAGAAGAAGAATCAATGAGAAGGCCGCCGGTCAAGGTGGCTTGCGAGAATGACGAAAAGGGAATCGAAGAAGAGTCAGAATCGAAAGTAAGGCCGTTCCGAGTATCGTTGGCCGAAAATGATAGCGAGGTATCCCAACTATTGTGATTTGCTTGAAGTTGCGGATTGTCTGGCCGGGCAGAAGTAGGCTGTGAATCGACTGCAGGCTGGCATGTATGCGAATGCGTTATATTCCATGACGATATGTCTAAGTGCGGGTCTCCTAACCCGCTGGTAAAATCGAAGTTCTGGTCAAAGAGAATTGGTTCAGATAAAAAGACCCCCTTCACACGGGTGGAAAGAGGGTTCGGTTTGGGATGAGGGATCAAAGGGAACCTGAGGCGCGAGGCGGGGTTTTAAAGCAATCCGGGCGATGCATTCATTGCCAAGAAAGCGGCTTGTAACGCGGTCCGAGCGCCGTAAGATTTGAAGCAAGCAATCGATCGAGCAAGTGGTCAGCAGCAGAAAATAATATCGGCCGACACAGCCCTCCCCAACAACAACAGCAGCAGTATTGTCACCACCTGGCAGGCGCATTGCCAAATGACGGCCTCACCGGCATTTCGAGTGCTGCGGTCCAATTCGACATTGACCCAGTCGGATCTCATTTTTCCTTTTCTGGCGCCCTCGATACACCACCTACGAAACCCGTCAAACAACTCAATTGCTCGTTTCTCGACGTCCACCGCATTATGGAAAGGAGATAACAACAAAAATCGTGGTCTCTCCGCATTGAGACACACAGGTTTGCGGAAACGACAGGCTCTATCCGTCCTCAAGCAGCCAATTCCTAAACCTGTCACCGATTTCAAGGGCAAAGAACCCGTCCAGGGAGATGAAGAACATGGTCTGTGGGGATTTTTCAAGAGCAAGCAGCTTCTACAAACTCCACTGAAGGAGTCACGGCATGGTGCGATTCCCAATCAACGAGAATTAGACTTTGGCTGACATGAACTTGCCAGGACGATCATGGACCGTCCCCGAACTGCGTTCAAGATCCTGGGAGGATCTCCACGCCCTCTGGTGGGTATGTGTGAAGGAGCGCAATCGCCTTGCAACCGAGAAACTTGAGCGAGACAGAGTCGGAGGCTTGTATGGAGATGATGAAAACCAAACTAGGGATGATACGGTTCAGGAAACTATGAAAGCAATCATGGATACGCTGCAGGAGAGACACAAGGCCTGGAAAGACGCATACCAACTCGCTGGGCAAGACCCTACGGTGGACCTCAAGAACAATGCACACAACATCAGCCCATACAGCGTGAGTACATCATTTCCAACATACAAGCCAGGCCCGCCACTAACCATCCGCAGTCTGACCCAGAGGACTACCAAGAAGCGGAGGTACCAGAGGTTGCAGGTGGCCAACAGAGTCAACAGGTCGTTGCCGACAAGGAGGGCAAGCTTCCAGAGGAGCGATTTTTCAACACGCAGGACAACAAACCGTCGTTCAAGGAACAGGTTGAAGAGAAGACAAAGAAGGTTTTGTGGAATAAATGAACGCTACATCATGTATACTCCTAGTGATTGTTGGAGAAGTGTACACTACTATGTATATATGACGCTTGAAAGGGGCGATCTTATGTATCGCGGGAAAGCTGTATTGGGTATGTAATTGTAAGATAGGCCTGCACCACCAGAGCCCAAAAAATATATTCTTCCTTTTAGAGGGCAGAATTTGGTTTTATCATTTGTTGACAGTTATTCGAGATATCCCTGTTCATAAATAATGTGAAACCCAGCATGTTCTGAAAGTTGACTGGCATGCGCCACTTGTAGATAGCGAGCCGAGTTCAAAGAGCTCCCCACCCACCTGCAGGTGCTCACCGCAACATCCACCCACATCCATCCCGCCTAGCTTCCGTTCCAAACTTCTCTTCACCGTCTACGGAGTATACTCATTCTACCTCTTGTCACAGCTTGCCACCATGGATGAGATTGCACCCGAGTACGACGTTGTGGTTCTGGGAACTGGTGAGCTCATTACCCCGCCATACGGGAGGGGGCCTACATGCTAATGGTCGCAGGTCTCACGGAATGCGTTCTCTCTGGGTAACACCGACACGGCCAAGAAGGATCAGGATTTTGCTGACTTTTGTGAAGTGTTCTCAGTGTGAAGGGAAAGAAGGTCCTCCACATCGACCGCAACGATCACTACGGAGGGTAAGGAGTCCGCTGTCTTTACGCCCCTACGTCTCAACCTCGTGCTAACATATTGCAGTGAAGCCGCCTCCGTCAACATTGAAGCAGTACGTGCACTCCCCGCTATTCACGATAAGGCGACTAACGAGAGAAGCTCTTCAAAAAGTATGGCAACACTGCCGGCGAGCCCTGGAAGAAGTATGGCCGTGTCAATGACTGGAACATTGATCTCGTCCCCAAGCTCCTCATGTCCAACGGCGAGTTGACGAACATCCTTGTCTCCACCGACGTTACTCGATACCTAGAGTTCAAGCAGATTGCTGGCAGTTATGTCCAGCAAGGCAGTGGCGCAAAGGCAACCGTTGCCAAAGTGCCTTCGGACGCAGGCGAGGCTCTTCGCTCCCCATTGATGGGTCTTTTCGAGAAGCGCCGTGCCAGGAACTTCTTGGAGTGGGTTGGCGCATACAAGGAAGATGACCCGGCAACACACAAGGGTACGAATCTGGAGGGACGGGAAGATTACAATGTATATGCTGATTTTGGCAGGTCTCGATCTGAAGAACTGCACCATGAAGGATGTTTATGACAAATTCGGCTTGGAGGCAACCACCAAGGACTTCATTGGTCATTCCATGGCTCTTTTCCAGACTGATGACTACATCAACGCAAAGGGCAATGCCAACGATGCCATAAACCGCATTCGTCTCTATGTGAACTCGATGGCAAGATACGGAAAGTCCCCGTACATCTACCCCTTGTACGGCCTCGGAGAGCTTCCCCAGGGTTTCGCCCGTCTGTCTGCCATTTACGGAGGTACATACATGTTGAACACTGACGTGGATGAGTTCTTGTACGAGGGAGGCAAGGTCTCCGGAATCAAGGCTACCATGAAGGAGAAGGGCGACGACGGCCCGGGCATGAAATTCGAGACTAAGGCAAAGAAGATCCTCGCAGATCCATCTTACTTCCCAGACAAGGTCCGCGTCACCGGACACTTGCTCAAGGCAATCTGCATCCTGAACCACCCTGTGGCCAACACGGACAACAGCGACTCATTCCAGCTTATTATCCCTCAATCCCAAGTAGGACGGAAGCATGGTAGGTTCCCTGGCTTCTCCCCTTGTACCGAAAGATTCTAACTGTCTTCACTACAGATATCTACATTGCAGTCGTCTCATCTGCCCACAATGTCTGCCCTAAGGGTTACTACATTGCCATTGTCTCCACTATTGCCGAGGGTGACAGCAACCACCACCTCGAGCTGCAACCAGGTCTTGACCGTCTTGGACGCATCGAGGAACAGTTCATGGGTGCTCCCATCCCTCTGTACGAGCCCCTTGAGAGCGGCACCAACGACAACATCTTCTTGTCCAAGAGCTACGACGCTACGAGCCACTTCGAGACCACCACCGGTAAGTCGAGAGTTTTGATATTCGTAGACTGTCACTAACCATGAGAAGATGATATCCGAGACATCTACCGCCGGGCCGAGGGTCACGAGCTTGTCGTTGAGGGTCTCCGAGACGGGCAGAACCTCGTTGCTGATGAATAAACTTGAACGGACGTGCATGACGATTATTGGACTATATTGGAGTTGACCACAGACTGGTATGCTGACAACGACACATTATTGCGACAATGAATATATATTGCGTTCAGAAGTGACATCAAGTCCCAAACTATAATAAATGATTATTTTTTCGAGTAACATCGAGTCATCGTGACATTGCTTCCTTCCTGTCATACTATGATTGAAGGTGACGCGTTTATGTATGTACAGTCCACCCAATTAGGAAATGTTCCAGATTGTCTTGGCAAGGAGCGCACCTCAATGGCGTCGTTGTCCATGTCGAGCCATTACGGTATTCACCCCTTCGAAGCGCCAGTTTTCTCTTAATAAATTTGTCTTTCTTGAGACATTCGCTCCTTTATGCCAACATGGCGCAGCTTGGGCGTAATCGTTTCCTTGCAATCGCGGTGCTTTTCCATCTGCTTTACATCTACAGGTACGTCCGTCGAGTACAATTCATGCGAGAGTGAGGAATTGACGAGGCTGCAGCATTTTTTCGATTTATTTCGTGAGCCCTATTGTCCATGGCATGCGAGAGCACCGTGTCGACACCCAAGAAGCTCCTGCTAAGAGACTGGTTCTGTTTGTCGGTTTGTGAAATCAACGTCCTTTTAAGTCGAACAATGCTAATACATCGTAGGAGACGGTCTCCGCGCCGATAAAGCCTTCCAGTCGTTCCCTGACCCGTCTCCGAATAGCGAGGATTCCGAAGCCGCAAAAGTTCCCCGTCCCCTCGCCCCGTTCCTACGTTCTCGAGTCCTCGAACACGGTACATTTGGAGTCTCTCACACGAGAGTGCCCACAGAGTCTCGGCCGGGCCATGTGGCCCTCATTGCTGGGCTTTACGAAGATGTCTCTGCGGTGATGACAGGCTGGAAACTGAATCCCGTAAACTTTGACAGCGTCTTCAACCGGAGCAGGCATACTTGGAGTTGGGGGAGCCCGGACATCCTGCCCATGTTCGAACAGGGAGCAGTTCCTGGAAGAGTAGATGCAGACTCATATGACGCCGATTTTGAGGATTTCTCAAAGGAGGCGCTGGAGCTTGACATCTGGGTCTTTGACAAGGTCAAGAAGCTTTTTGAGAATGCGAAGACCAATTCTACTCTCGATGCAGAGCTGCGGAAGGAGCAGAATGTGTTCTTCTTGCATCTGCTCGGACTAGATACCACTGGACATTCGCATCGACCATACTCGAAGCAGTATCTACACAATATCCAGGTCGTAGATCAAGGCGTCCAAGAAATTACGAAGCTGATAGAAGAATTCTATGACGATGGTAAGACAGCCTTCGTCTTCACAGCAGATCACGGCATGAGCGATTGGGGAAGTCATGGAGATGGACATCCGGACAACACACGAACTCCCTTAATTGCATGGGGATCTGGCGTGGCAAAGCCAGTCGTGGATCCAAGTGGTTCAGCCAAGGGTCATGAAGATGGTTTCTCTTCGGATTGGGGCTTGGACCACATCCAAAGACACGATGTCGCTCAAGCCGATGTGGCTGCTCTAATGGCTTATCTGACAGGACTTGCCTTCCCGACGAACTCTGTTGGCGAATTGCCACTTTCGTACTTGGACACAGATGTGAAGTCCAAAGCGGAGGCATTGTTGACAAACGCGAAGGAGATTCTTGAGATGTACCGTATCAAAGAAGAGCAGAAGAAGTCTACTGAACTGAGGTACAAGCCGTACGCTGAGTTAGGAGACGAGACGCATTCCGTGGAATATCGGATTGCTCACATTCAAGGGTTGATGGATCAGGGAGATTCGGAAGAGGCGATCAAAGAAACAACCGCTCTCATCCAGACCGGCATCCAAGGACTGCGATATCTCCAGACCTACGACTGGCTGTTCCTACGAACTCTAGTCACTGCGGGATATGTTGGTTGGATTGCCTATGCAATTACTACCGTCCTTGATCTCCACGTCTTGCACGGAAAATCGGAGACTCTACGCTCTGTTCCAAGCATGATCATTTTCTCATCCACACTTGTTGGCCTGTACTCTGTATTGTTTGTTCAGAAGTCGCCGTGGATTTATTATGTCTACGCATTCTTTCCAGTCATGTTCTGGGAGGAGGTATGGGCGAGCAGACCTGCTCTTGTCCAGGGATGCAAAGTCTTGTTCGGCCATATATCGTCTCCTGTAGACACGATCAAGCTTGTGCTCTCTGTACTTGGATTTTTCGGTCTCCTTGAAGCATTGGTAAGCTGCACTGTACCTGTCCCCTAATCGGCATAACTGACGCTCGCAAAGGTCTGGAGCTACTTCCGGCGAGAGATCTTTACCGCCTGCTACCTTGTTGCCACAATGTGGCCTGCATTCTATGGACAAGATTTTGTCAAGCGTAACGTATGGCTCGTTCTCACCTGGGCTTTGTCCTGCATTGTGATGAGCATTTTCACCCTACTGCCTGCGAACAAAGTGGAGGATTTGAATATGATGTAAGTGTTACGCTCGAGTGTATTGTTTCAAGCTGACTGGTCTTCTAGCCTACTTGGAGGTGGACTCATGTTTGCGGTCGGAGGTCTATATCTGATCTTTGAGAAGAGTATCTTAGTCGATGCCGAGTCGTCCAAGGACGAACTGTCGTCTCCAGCAGCAGACGGACTCTCGCGCATCATCTTAGGCACACAGGTATGCGACTATGGGTGTATTCAGCTCTACCACTTTACTAAAGTCGATAGATCGGTCTGGTGGCTCTTGCTATGATTGTGACTCGATCAAGCGTATGGTACCTCAACGCTAGGCAGGGATTGCCTCTTGGTACGCAGTCTGTGGGATGGATCACTTTGAGTATGTTAACCGACTCATGATGACCATAGAGTCAACTATACTAACAGCACGCAGTTGCTTCGTTGATCGTGCCATTCCTGCACGGTCTGCAGCCAAACAATCACTACATCCACCGCTTGGTCGTCATCTTCCTACAGTTCGCACCCTCGTTCATCATCCTCACCATTTCCTACGAGGGCTTATTCTACTTTGCATTCTGTCTATGTCTGTTCAGCTGGATGCGACTTGAGCACCACATCTACACCGACACGACCAAGCACAGCTCGAAGCCCACAGACAGCACTCCTGGCTCAGCGAATGTACTCGAGCCAGCTGTGGCGGCTGCCGCTGATCGGATAACCTCCCTGGGCGCAGGGCAGTACCGAGCTCTCACTCTAGCAGACGCCAGAATCGCGCTCTTCTTCTTTTTCTTCCTGCAATCGGCGTTCTTCTCGACTGGCAACATCGCTTCGATATCATCATTCTCTCTCGACGCGGTCTCTCGACTGATACCGGTGTTTGATCCCTTCTCGCAGGGAGCCCTACTAATGATGAAGATCATGGTTCCATTCGCGGTGTTGAGCGCGAACTTCGGAATCCTGAACCGCAGGCTCGGGGTGGCGCCCAGTGCGATCTTCATGGTGGTGATGGCGGCGGGAGATGTGATGACGCTGAACTTCTTCTACATGGTCAAGGATGAGGGCAGCTGGTTGGACATTGGAACGACGATCAGCCACTTCTTCATTGCGAGTCTGATGGGTGTGTTTGTGGCGGGGTTGGAGTTGGTGTCAGGGCACATCATCGGAGGTGTTAAATTCGGGGAGAAGAAGGAGAAGAAGAATGGAAGTGCTGTCGAGGCTAATGGGAAGGTAAATGGAGATGTAGCTGGGGCGAATGGGGCAAAGGCCGTTCCTCCACTAGAGAGCTCGGAGAAGATATAAAAATACTCGGTCCTTGAATGTCGGAGGATACGTAAGGAGTATGGTAGTACATATAAAAAGGATACCAGTTTGAAGAAGGTAGGGAAAGGTAAAAATGATTCCACGTAACGAATCAACAAAATAATGCCGATGATAGTGAATATGCCATCTAATCATCTACTGCGAATAATACCCGAGTATACGGAGTACACCTTTTACTCAATAGCCCATACCAAGCCTTGTGTTTGGATGAGACAAGGATCCTGAGACTCGAGGTCACACGAGCGCTATCAGAAATGTCTTTGCGCATATTGTATGAACTGAAGTTCGCAGTGCACATGAACAGTAATTTGCGTTAGCGTGTTATATTGATCCAGAATCGGAGGTATCATCACATTATGGTATAGTACTGTAAGGTAGTCCGTATCGTAGTGTATTGGAAGTGTAATGATGTTAAAGGGAGGTTTTTAGGTGGCTGGGGGGTGGCGTGGCTTCGAGGAGAGCCGGGCAGCCGAGATGGCCAAAGCGTCCCGTCCGCCTTCCGCTACAATTCTTTGGTTGATGGAGAGACATCAAATGGTATAACTAATTAATGGTAAATGGCAATTCAGATGATGAAAACAATGGAATAGAACACTCATACAAGACTGACATTATCAATTAGTTATCATGATAAACATAAACATAGTCATTGCTCTCCTCTCCTCCCTGGACTTGTCATAGGACACAAGCATATGCTGCCCAACATGACTTCCCGCCCGTCGCACGTCGTGAAACCTCCTTCTCCCATCCATCATCCATCATCCATCCCATCTAGTTATATCCATCCTTTCTCCCCAGTCTTCTTCTTATTCTCTGCTATTACTTCTTCTACTCTACTCCCGCCCGTACTCATAGTAATCTTGTTATTCCTCTAACCCATAATAATAAACCACAACAACATCCCAGCCCTTCTTCTACTTCTTTCGTTCGTTCTTACGACTCGCTCACTCGCTCGCTCTCCCCTCCCAACCTCCCGATATCCCCAAACTCACCTCCATCTCTTAGCCATCCCAATTTCTCGCCCACTAATCGTCTTCCTCCTTCACTTCTCATATCCACTCTCTTCCAGCCTCCCAACAAATCATCCAACCCACCGACCACACTTTTCTCTCACTCCCCACCTAACCAATCTCCGCTCCCGTCGACCTTCACCCGTCGCCCGTCCCCCCATCCCGCCTCCCCTTAGCCACGCCATATAATCCGCTGCTCCCTTCCACTTCCCTCCATCGTCCTTTCTTCTTCTTCCCGCAATGTTCTTCAAACGCCGTTCTCGCGCTAACAGCTACATCGACAACGACGCGCCAGTCCGCTCGCAATCATACGACGAGTACGAGAAGCGACCTGATTCGTCCTCGCGCGCCAATACCCAGCAGCCCGTCACCTCCCCCACCGAAGAGAAGACAGACATGTACCCACGTCAGCAAGCTCCACAGGAGGCCTTCAATCGCGGCCCCGTACAGAACGGCGGTCACAACTCCATGCCGTCCATGGGAGCAAATGTGCCTGCCCCCTTGAACACAAACTCCGGAATGAAGGCAGAGCCAATGCCAGACCTGCTTGCGCAGGCTTTCAATCAAGCCATCCGCCCATACACGGAGAAGATTGAGCACCTCGAGAGCCAGCTCGCAGAGATGCAGAACTGGGTCGAGCAATTGGAGCAGCAGCGCGCAGAGGTGCACAGCTGGATTGACAAGCGCGGTCTTCGTCCTGGTAAGTTCATGAGCTCCCGTCTCCAAAACAAATAAACAAAATATCTGCGCATATAGTGAAGCTAACAACGATTGCCACAGATGTCCCTCCCTCAATCGCAAAGATCATGGACACCACCACACCCGATGCCGCCGTGACGCTCAATGCCCAACTTGATCGCAAGATCACAATTGTCAACTTTGACCTCCACCGTCTCCAGGACGACCTCAACGACTCCATCTCCTCCGCACACTTCGCTTCCGCCATGCTCAAGTTCCTCCCCGACATCAACCGCCTCTCCCTGCTTCCGACCGGCCCCAGGCATGCCTTCGACCTCGTCCTCAAGCTCGGCGGCAACCTGAACTCGCACGGCGGTCTCGACAGCAGCGACGAAGACGACATCATCGCACGTCGGGACTTCTATAGCAAGTTGGACGATGCCATGGTCGAGGTCGTGAGCAGGCGCTTCAACGAGGGTGAGGAATGGAACGTGTCGCGGGAGATCAAGAGGATCGAGAAGACCGCCACCTACCTGAGGACCTTCGGTGTGGAGCCCTACTTCCCACAGACCCTGGATCTCATGAGGAGGGAGATGGACTTCCAGCAACGCGCAGGTGGTGCGCCTCAGCAGCAACAGCAACAACAAATACCAAACGGACAGGGCACGCCACCGAGGTACCACTAAGCCGAGAGCAAGCCTCTCAAGCTTAGACATTCTGTTCTGAGGATCATATTGCCTTCCATTCTGGACATTTCTCTTTGAATCAGCAGTGAAGCCCACATACCCACTTTGGCTCCTGTTTTCCATCCCACATATTCCCCCATTTGTTCCTTTCTTGCATGTTCTTCTTCTGTTGCCTCCCTGGCCGAGTCTATATTCCTGTTTTTTTTACCAGGGCCCTTCTACTACAAAGTTCGAGGATTGAGAACCAACCATAGGGACATAACGGCTGAGACGTGCGGGAGAAAAACGGGCCCCCCCCCCCCCCTCCCCCCCCAATGACTGTACTTTAATACCAAACGACACGAATCTCCTTTCAGTCTTTTTGTTTCTGCACCTGTTTAACTTGTCGGCATGCTTGGGTCATGCGTTTTGAGGGAGGGGAGAGGAGGGGAATGGATGAGTCTGGTGTTCTTTGTATTTTCTTCTCGGCCCATGTGCGAGCGGAGATCATGAGCAGAATGTGCTGGTCTTTCCCTCCACTCCTTTCCCCAAGGTACGATCATGGATGGTGACAGATTGGGGTTGATTGCATATGGCGTTCAATATCCTGGATTCTGGTGTTCTTCCGTGCTTTCTTTTCGAAAGGTGTGGGATTCACTCACCATGGACCACTGTCCCTTTTCTTGGGGTACATAACATAACAATCATCCATGCGTACATAACGCGCTCGGAAGTAGTAGTATAATAGCGAGTACCCACGAATGGAAAGAAAAGACTTAAGTGCAAGAATGAAAAAAAAGTTCAAATCAAGTACATGTTTGATGTTGCGTGACTGACTCTACTTAATGACACTTTCTCTCTGTACCAGGTATCTACCCTCTTCGATTGATCTGACTTTCGAGTCAGGTGTGTACGTGAGAACAGTCTCCTCCCTCCTCTTTGCTTTTCTCTTGAACAGAGCACACTCACGTACGCTATCTCATCTCTGTCACGCACTGGACTCCCTCTTCTTGCCATCACTACCCCATCCTTCTATCCCATCGCCGCCCCTTCAGCCTCTTCCCCCTCTTCCGTCCTTCAAAGCCCCTGGTCGTAGCAACAACCACTCACCCTCCTTCTCCATCTTCCGTCGATGTAATCCCGGTAGACAGAAGTTTTTTCATGCCTTACTTGACACATAACCATACGCAAGGACAAGGCAAGGACAAAGACATCACAGCCTTAGCACCACGACACAGCCTGGTATGTAATAGTCCAGTAGTTTCACGGTATGTAGATAGAGTGGTGAGATAGGCACGAGCAGAGCGGGTGGAACGTGATGAGGGTGTTAAGGCTACGTACGTTAAGTTTTTCTATGGTAGATGTGATGTTTTCCGGGGAGGTTGGGCTTGAGTGTAATTCGTTTGTGAGCAATAGCTAGGCGGGTAAGTAGGTGTATAGCTTCTTGAGATGGAAGATTGGAAAGTTTGTGAATGTGGCTTTTGTCTCGAGGAGAATTGGAATGAGGGGTTCTTGTCGTTTGATACGGCGATCGAGTTCTGTTTGGGATTGGTTGGATATGCGATTTTGACTGTTCACTAGTTCTTTGGTCGTTGATTAATGAATCGAGGGAATTTCCGTGAATGCTTTTCGTTGTTCTTATGAGTTTCTGTTAAACTGAGTATAAAACTTAATTTTTATATAGTAAATCTTCACAAGACTCAAATTTCTCAAGTTAGAAATTGATCATCGACACCGTTGAAATGAAGGATATAATATTAGTCCTGGTATCCCATATATCAATATTAAATGGACTATTTGTGTCAAGACTTCTATAACCAATACTACTGACTGCAGCATACTGACGACACTACGAACAGTTACCTACAGACTTAAGGTACGATTCTTAAAGTACTAATTGTAAAACCGGATCACATATTCATGGGAACCCACCATGAGTAACGGTAGTACTTGTTTACTACATATCTAGTTTCTGATTAGTTATCAACCTCCATGCTGGAATATGAAAGTAGTATATCAACAAGGGTACAAGTTATGTACCTCTCTTTGCAGAGCTCTAGGCATGGATAGGACTATAGGGTATATTGGTGACGACCTCTGGCACTGTTTCGTGGATCAAGCCTCCCTGAAAACACTCGTCAACTTTTCGCCAGGAGCACCGTGTCAGCGTTCAAGTAGAACGAGCTGGATAACGAAAGAGCTCACCATTAGATACTATACTTGCTGGATTGAAATTTGATTAGTTGATAGTTCTGAAGTTGCACTGACCGAGGCGAGTAGGAGTACAACCATTCAAGATCCAGTGATATAAACTCAAAGAGAAAGTGAAGGTTCACATTTTTCGAGAATGAAGAATTGATATATGCTATCATCATGGTAAAGCTCACTAGATATTCTCTACGGTTATTTTCCGTCTTTGGGGTTTTGGAATGGGCGTGTAATTGGTTTCTATGTTGTACTTTGGATATTACTTTTACGTGGGTTCCACTACGAATAATCGGGCCCATGACAATGGGAGGATGGAGTGCCATTGAATGATCCTGAATGAAATACTACACAGTCCATTCCCATGCCTTGTCACTAAACCGAAAATACTTCTTCCCATACCTACCGTCAATTCTCGTCCCCATTTCCTCCCCTAAACCAATCTTCAAGAACCGGAAGACCGTGACGACAATCCACCAAATCGCACTCCTCTATCTCCACCACTCCCTACAGAGCAACCTCCCACCATCCCACCTCCCCGTTCACAGCTAACGACGAACGACGAATGACTAACCACAAACCTTCAGACACAGATCCCGGCGATTTATCACCACCTACCTTACCTCGCTCTGTCGTCATATCTCCCACTAACTACACAGGGATACACTCAGGAACCGGGTGGTACCAGTGTGATTTTCCCGTTCGGCAATCGGACGGAGATCCGTTGGTGTGGCATGGTTCGACGGACTACGCACGAGCATGGCAGTGACGTTTTACGTGGAGGGCTCTTTTGGAGGAACGTGGCTAGTGGTTGGAAATCCTCTCATGTTTGTCCTTCCGTAGGAGTTGAGAGAGACGTCACGTAAGAGAGGAGAAAGGGAAGGAGACTCGTTCGGAGAGATGTTCTGCGATTGAGATACCATATTGGGATTCATGGGAGGTCTACGTGAAGATTCCAGCGAACTGGCTGGGTGTAATGGGCTATACGTCATTTACGTTCATTGAACTTCTCGTCAATGGGTATCCATGCTTCTGAATGATCGATGGCCGAGTAGCTGGGATGCGCGTAGGTACTTGGTTTTTCGTTTCGTTTTGCTTCTTCATGTGGCGTGGACATACGTGTCTTCGCCGGATCTACAGTACACGCTACAGGCATAAGTTTGTTTCGTTTGGTTTGTTTCTCGTCCCCGTCGCGTGGGCTCTGCTCTTTCTCGCGTCCGAGATATCGGTTCCCGGTTGATCGTTGAGGAAAAGCTTGTTTGGTCGTATCCTTTCGTTTCGATGCTGGGTTTCTACTTAGCTCCTATTGATTTAATGTTTACTACATGTACTTATGGTTTAGTCAATTTTGAATTTCTTTTAATCACCGAATTCTGTCGAGAACGAGAAAGACGACGACGATATTACCCACGCCTACTTCGTTGCTCATATTCGGCCAGGGCGATGGTGGTCTCCGCCTTCTTCTTCATAGCTTATCCAACATCGTAGCCTCTCCGTGTTGGTGTGCCAAACCACCCACAGGCTCTAGACATAGAAACCCGTCTATCATTACGGGAATTGGTACCTCGCAAGGGTGTACACATGTACACCACGCGTGGTCGTTCTGACCCACGCCTTCTTCGCTCGCTCGCCGGTACAAGTGCATACATGAATACGAGCTCGCCTCCTCGGGGTTCGGGAATCGAAAAACAAGGCGAATTTTTAGTAACATGCATGTCGATTCGATAATTACGAGGATAATTGAGAAGATAGCAGGGGACATGAAGTTCCACTCCTGAATATTGGGAAGGTTGCTTTGGGTGTTGGAGCTGGTGCGTGGGCGGCGGATGCGTGGTGGTCTGTGATGAGGTGTAGATGCATGTACGATAATGGATTCGCGTGCAAGATGGTCCGAGGGAAGAAGGATGATGACGGGGATGTTGGAACCGTTCTGTGCTGGTGTTTAACTAATTATACATTATGAAACAGGTTGTTGCGAAATCTCAAGTGCGTTGTCTGCTCTATAGCTAACCTTTTTCTCTTCTATCAAGTACTAGTTATGCAATGAACAAGTTGATATGGAAGAATAATTTTGATAGACTCTACAACAACCAAAAAAACTTGCAATAATCAGTATTCATTGTACTCCTAATCACATATGCATATAAATATAATAAATAGATCATAACATCATATTCCATCCATTGATTCAGATATAAGCCCAACCAAACAATTAACCCAAAGTCCCCATAACCCATACCCACAGCAAAACCCTCACATCAAACCCACATACAGACCCATATCGCGAACCGGTAAATCCTAAAACGTTCGATTATTACACAGACCGACCGACGGACTCGAACCCAACTACCCTCACCATCAACCACCCCAATCTGTCAACGGAAACGGGCTCCTGCAGGTCCCAACCCAGCCTCACAGCCAGCCCGCCTTACCTTACCTTACTATACCCTCAACTCCCGGCCGAAGTAAACCCTGGACTGTTCCTGTCAGACTGACCAGGTAAACGCACCAACGCCCCACGTCGTTCGTTGTCGTTGAGGCTCAAACTACGTGTCTGTGTCTGTGTAGGGGTCCTGAATCGGACTGTCATGGTGAGAAGGGACGCACGTGGGAAAGTGAGATGGGTGGCAAGGCGAGGTTTTTCGACTAGCTGGGTAGGGTAGGAGTGGTGTGTATTATTGTCCGGATGGATTATTTGTCTGTTGGTGGCTTGGGATGGGCGTGGTGATGATCGTGTGTGTTGGGTGGGCGGGGCGTATCTTGCGAGGGGAGGTGAGACTTAAGCCCTTGGGAGATGGCGGTGATGGGGTTATTGGGTCTTTTGGGATGTAGGTATTGTTTTATGTAACTGATAGAAAAGCAGATGGGGACGTTTGGCAGATTGGAAGTATCTATGTTTGTGAATGCTTATTTTGTAATTTTACTATAATTTCCCTTGACCATAGATGCGACCGTCTGGCGAAGACTGGTTTTTAATCAAATTATAGAAACGTCAAAGAGGATCG